GCTTTTTGAAACGTTTTTATCAACCAAGAATTTCCTCATTATCTGCCTTAAACTATTATCATTGTTTTTGGGTTTGAAATAATCGGGTACAAGGTTCAAGTCTTAGAGGGAACACGATCATGCACTGGAAAATAGAAAATACGTCCAGCCGACAAGTTTCGAAAAGAACGAAACGAACATCCTTGATTCCAGCGCGCTAGTCACCACCACCAAACAAAATAACTTCACGTTATACTTTCTTTGGTTATCGTGAAAGTGTCCGCACTAAGTGCCGACATAATAAGAGAGAGACTCAGCCTTGCAATACAATATAATCATCTAGGCTGTTCATTCGTGTATTTATATCAAATGGATGGGAAAGTTCCAAAATAATTTCTGGTTAGGGGTCAAATTAATAAAAAATTACAATTAGGAATTAGTATGCCGTAATAAACAGGGGGATGGGTAAAACTCAAACAAAGTAGCATTATAATAACTAAGAAGATTGACATTGTGCAATTGGGGTTAGAAATGTAGAAATAACAAAACAGACAGGATGTTTGCATAAAAAACTAATGTGATGAATAATTGTTTATGCAATCAGGGATTAAATATGTAGAAATAGTAAAATGACAAAATAAACAGGAAGTGTGGATATGAAAATATGGTAGTGTAAACAGGGATTAAGAAAAACTTAAAATAACATGAATAAACAGGATACCATATACCATACCATATACCAGTTTACTTGCTCTCGTGGAGCTGAGTACATTAGCCGTACCATGCGCCTACTTGGAAAACGCGCTCGCGAACACTACCCAGACAGGCTAATAAAAAGGAGACCGAAAACGGGTATACAGTTCAGTGACAGAACATCTGGTCAACTCATTACATTCAGCGCCTTTCGTAAAGTCCTTCAAAGTAATATACAAGATTCAATCAAACCTACCAAAGGGAGTGAAATCAAGACATTTGGGCATAGCTGAGGCGTTAGCTATCCAAAAACTCAAACCCACTCTTTGTATCCAAAAGAAATACGTCCAACCCCTGTCCCTGCCATGGCCATCATAAACAGGTAAAATTTTTTAATTATGACCATCCCATCGCCTTTCTTATCTAAACTTCCTGTTTATTCATGTTATTTTAAGTTTTCTTAATCCCTGTCTACACTACCATATTTTCATATCCACACTTCCTGTTTATTTTGTCATTTTACTATTTCTACATATTTAATCCCTGATTGCATAAACAATTATTCATCATATTAGTTTTTTATCCAAACATCCTGTATATTTTGTTATTTCTACATTTCTAACCCCCAATTGCACAATGTCAATCTTCTTAGTTATTATGCTACTTTGTTTGAGTTTTACCCATCCCCCCTGTTTGTTATGTCATTTTAATTCCTAATTGTAATTTTTATTAATTTGACCACTAACCAGAAATTATTCTGTAACTTTCCCATCCATTTGTTATAAATACACGAATGTACAGCCTAGATGATGAATTCGTCGAGAAGAAAATTTCCTTCGCTGCAATTGTCTTTTAATAACTCCTATGACACAATATAATCAATCAACGGAATAGGCGAAATTAACTTAAAAACAAATATTGTCATTATCGTTGTTGTTGATAGTTAATATATATATATATATGACTGAAACATGCCAGTTTTATCATCCTGCTGATAAACAACTATTATTGATTGATATTTAATACTCATATGTGGAGTTTCATATATCTAATAATATCTAATTAAAAGCAAGGTTTCAAGTGTTGGTTTGTAGGGATTTGGTTGGTTACAGGATTTTCATCATGAGTTGACATTAGTTAGAGAACCATTGGAAAACCAAATGGGAGTACTAGACATCTGTTTCGTCCTAGTTTGGGACTCTTCATCAGTACGCACCCACCGCTAGGGTTTGAGCCCACGACCTTCTGGTTACAAGGCTAGCGAGTTCGTATACCATTAAGCCACTGGGACCCGATCGAATGGCCGATTCATGAATTGTAACTTCTGCCAATTCACGATATAGCACAATTCATGAATCGGCCATTCGATCGGGTCCCAGTGGCTTAATGGTATGCAAGCTCGCCCTGTAACCAGAAGGTCCTGGGTTCGAACCATGGCGGTAGTGCGTACTGATGAAGAGTTCCAAACTAGTCTGACATAACAGCTGTCCAGTACTCCCAGGTTTTCCAATGTTTCTCTAACTAATGTCAGCTCATGATGAAAATCCTGTTAAAGTAAGGTTGTTCACTGACACGTTTTGTTCTACTTAGAATACAAAACTTGAATACAACAACACCGTCGAATTTTATCAACTGTATACAGATGTTAGAATTTTTCACCCTCGGACCAACCAACACTTAACTTGTCGTTTCTCGTTCGGGGCCTCTTGTGGGGGGGGTGCTGGTGCGTGATATCACTCAATGGTCTGTCTTCTCAGAGTGTGCTCAATCCATCCATATGCATCTCCTTCAGCATATTTGTTTGGCAATAGGTTATTGACGTTCTTGACAATCCCAGAGTTTCTTGTTGCTAATCCCTTCTAGTCACAGTATGGAGTAGAAGCATCTGATAATGAAATTCTTCAATAGTCTTCTGGAAATGCTTCTCATGATGATGCACAAAGTCTCTGGATCATATATAGAAGCGCCGATTCGACATTTTTTGTTGAAAATTCGAATCTTGTTCTTTTAATGCTGAGTGCAGTAGATTCCCACACTTATTGAAGAAGATTGAAGAAAGTCTGTTTTGCTTTCCTGATCGCATAAGGGGACTTGACAATTTTCTAATCCGTGCTGCTTGTAGGTACTAACTACATATTTGTTGTTTAGTTCATTGGTAGAATGCTCGCCTATCATATAGAAGGTTTGACTCCGATCTCCCACTGAAATACTTCTGAACCTTATCTGTTCCACCCGAAAGGGTGTTTAATGTTGGCAACCCAATCCGTTATATCAATACCGTCACTGTTACTGAAACTCCAGAGCCTGAATTCTTGTTGTTTTACTCAGATAAACACACTGCCAGTACAATTTCGTAATTCTTCCTGAGCAATAAATATCCTCGATTCTATGATAGACCAAAACTACACAAACCAAACATTCCCTTACGACCAATCGTTTCGCTTCCAGGAACACCAACATATAATCTGTCTAAAGAACTTTTCAGGAAATTAAATTACCTATCAGAATCACGAGACCATTCTATTAATTCGTCAGTCCAATTTTTAGAGGAAATCAAAAACATTTAAGTGGATGACAAAGAAATAATGGTGTCCTTTGATGTCACAGCATTATATACTTCAATCAGTCCAAAACTTGCAACAGAAACTATGCAACAATTACTCTAAAGTGATGAAAACATAAAAACGCTAATATCAACTTGCATAGAACTCATAAAATTATACCTTACAACTTACTTCCAATTCAATACTCAAACATATGAACAAATAAAAGGAACACCAATGGGATCGCCCATAACAGGATTAATAGCTCGAGCCGTTATACAAAGATAAGAATTATTAGATCTACCTATAATTAAACCGAAAATCTGGATACGTTACGTTGGTGATACATTTGTAATAATTAAGAGAAGTGATTTAGAATATACTCATAAATTAATAAACAACATATTTGAAGACATCAAATTCACAAGAGAAGAAGAATTAGATAACAAAATCATATTTTTAGATGTCATAATCAGGAGAGCCAACACAGGAGGTTTAGAAACAGAAGTATATAGAAAATCAACGCATACAGATCAAATACTCAATTATACTAGCAATAACCCAATTACTCACAAACGAAACTGTGTGCAGACATTGTTTAAAACACATTGTAGCACTCCAGAGTTGAAAAGAATGCAAGAAAAATACCTACAAACGGTCTTCAAAAAGAATGGTTATCCGCAAAATTTCATCAAAAAGTGTTTAAAGTCGAATCAAAATACCAACAAACAACCATCATCGAGGACCACAAGAAAATTCATTCTACTATACATGAGAAATATCTCTGAAATAACAGCTAGAATTATGAAACCGTTTGATATAGATATAGCACGCAAGCCAGTAAAATCACTTAATTCGATATTGTGCAAACCGAAAGATCCAACAGAAAAAGGAGATAAAATTAATACCATTTACAAAAAAATTGTTTGAACTGCAACAAACATTACATCGGCCAAAGTGGGCGCCCCCCTTCGAATTAGAATCAAGGAATAAAAATCAGCCGTGAAAAGACACGATATGTATTCTTTAGTATCAATGCATATAGACAATTATGGTCATCAATTTGATTGGGATAATGTCGAAATGTTAGACAGAGGAAACACCGAAAGTGCAGTCAGGGAATTCCCAGAAGCCTGGTACTCAAACGAAAGTGCAATTAACAAACACGTTAATATAGACGGAATATACCAACTGATGAAAAGTAAATCAGGTGACCAGAAAGTTTAAAATCCAAGTCAACAGAAAATGGTCAATACATGTGTAAAGATGGTTACCGGGAGACGGACGCAATTCTATCACTCATGAAGAAATTTAAATCATTTCACTTTATGTTAAATATTGCGCTGAAGGGGGATGTTGTCCAGCAGGGGGACGACGAAAGCTCCGCAACTAAACCAACCAGCTCAGAGAACACTATTAATTGCAAATCTATTATTATTCTGTTAGTGACCGCCAAAGTTAACTTTCTTCTATGGTTCACAGAATTAATTCAAAATATATTCAATAAGTGTTGAATTTTCAAAGTGAAACATAATCGAAAATTACAAATGAATAGCGAAATTTTTATTCGGGTTGTTATAGTGACAAGGTCAAAAACACAACAAAAGTACACACACACAAATCATTGATTATGGTAAAGAAAAGGTGATGTTATTGAAAGCACTGCATTACAGCAGATTTGATCTCATTTAACTAATTTGTAATTTTAGTCAACTAGTAGAGTATTAACAAAGTTAAACAAAGAGCTGAGCGTACTGGAAGGAGATAAAAATTACAACTTTATAAATGGAGGATAATACTACCAATAATAGTAACAGTCTAGAGATTCAAAAAGAGGAATCCCTCAGTGGAAATGCTACAGCTTATGGTTGGATAGAAGATAATAACTATCTGTTGTCAGAGGAGGATATAAAAGCAATGTTTTTAGAAGGCTGTGGTAAGTTATATGTGTCCAAACCAAGTTCATTATTATTATTATTAATTCCTTTAGTTTCTAAAGGAATCTAGAGCTTCAGCCGAACGTCTCCATTGCGTTCGACTCTCTGCCAACGTTTTCTTCTGGTTCCAAGTCTGTCCACACACTTTTATCTCCTCTTCACATGGTCTGCTCCACGTCACCGTCGCACTGACGACCAGCTCGCCGCTGGTAGCCTGGCATGTAATGTCACTTGATGATTTCCTCAAAGTATAGCCAATCTACCTCCATTTCTTCCTGCCTATTTGTTGCACAATCGGTTCCTGCTCGGTTGGTTTGCTCACAGAGATCCCTATTGCTGATCTTTTCTGGCTATCTGATCTTCAGTATTGAGCAAAGACAATTGTTAGTGAAGGTCTGTAGTTTGTTTGAGTTGCTCTTTATGCCGAGCTGGCCACGTATCTGAGCCTTATAGTGAGTATCACTGACTTCACATTGGAGTTGAAAATCCGGATCTTATTTTTCATGTTGAGTTCTGTTGACCTCCTCGACACAGACTTGAGAGTAATGAAAGCTTGTCTTGCTTTCCCGATCCTTGCTTTGATATCCTCGTCAGTTCCGTGCGACTGTATTTGAAACGATGCTTCCCAGGTAGGTGGGTAGTTAAAGTAGGTTTTTTCGTTCAGTTTCCTTCAGTTCATGCTGATTGTTGTCTGTTGTTGTTGTTGCTGTTGGTGTTGGCCAGGAATCTTTCGGGTATATCACATTCATTATAATAAAGGTTTTTCATATTTCTCAATTAATGAAAGACAAAACGATATTGTGTTAAGGAATATATTTGTTTTCAATGTTTAAGTGTTGGTTTGTAGGGATTTGATTGGTTATAGGATTTTCATCATGAGCTGACATTAATTACAGAACCATTGAAAAAACCAACTGGGAGTACTGGACAGATGTTTCGTCCTAGTTTGGGACTCTTCAGCAGTACGCACTCACCGCCAAAGTTCGAACGCAGGACCTTCTGGTTACAACGCGAGCTAGTATACCATTATGCCACTGGGACCCGATCCAATGGCCGATTTATGAATTCTAACTTCTGCCAATTCACGACACAACGCGACCACCAGCCCAAGGGTTCTCTAACTAATGTCAGCTCATGATGAAAATCCTGTAACCAATCAAATCCCTACAAACTAACACTTGAATATCAATGAGATGCTCACTAGTGACTTGCCCTATTCAGGTAGGTAGTTGCCTTGAGTTCTAGTGAGAAGTCGTGACCAGTAGGGTGCAGAAGGTCGAGCGTGAGGACAAATACTCGCCGAAGACATTGGCTAGGGGTCGCGCTGTGTCGTGAATTGGCAGAAGTTAGAATTCATGGGCTGGCCATTGGATTGGGTCCCAGTAGCTTAATGGTATACGAGCCCGCCTTTTCAATGTTTGTTTAAACTGATTAATAAAATTAAATGTATATAATTTTTATTGGGGGTATTACTTAGGCGGTAACAGATTCCATTTTGGAATGATCTCATTGATCACGATTATTATCTAAAAAGAATGATTTTGTCTCATCTTCAAGGTTTATTTTGTTGGTTACATCCACAGTGTTATATTACAGACACTTTTTTTCGATGGAACCTTACATCACCGATTGATATTACGTAGAGAATAATTACAAGCCATAGAGTATTGGAGAGCTATTTCCTCATAATTTGGCATATACAGTCTCGTGTGGGGGCATAGGGCAGGCATAGGGCTGTCAAAATAAAAGGATAGAAGACTTTCACTCCAAGGGTGAGTGGGATCCCAGTAACTTCTGTCTTCCAGCTTTCGCCGATTTTCAGCATAGCATAGCTGTCATTATGGATAATTAGTAAATAAATGACCTTATGCTTAACTAGATGGACTCCATCGGCTATAAATGTTTGTTAAGACTTCAAAAAAAATTTATTTTTAAGCTGTACCTTGGTGAATAACATATGATGATTATACACAAAACCCAACTCAATGAATATGTAGCAAACCACAGGTTATTTATTTTGCTGACGTTTTGACTCTACATTTCTGAAAATATTGATTTTGATCTCATTTCATGTCACGAACTAACTGTTTACCCCTTGCGGTTTAGTCAGCAATACACCAGGAAGGACAATTAGTTCAATCAAATTATGTAATTAAGTCTAATTGTCGAATTTGAATATCTGAGAATAAGACTTATTATTACTATATTAACAGTATTGTTTCCTTTAATTCCCGGAAGAACACAGGCCTTCAGCCGCGCATCTCCATTGCGTTCGATTCTCTGCTAGAGTCTTCACCTGGCTCCAAGTCTGCCCACATGCTTTCATCTCCATTTCACATGACCTCCTCCAAGTCACCCACCCTCGCACTGACGAACAACTCGCCGCTTCCCTATCAGTCGGGTTCCACTCGAGCAGTGCCCTAACATTTGATATCATTTGATGGTTTCCTCAAAGTATGTCAAATCCACCTCCGTTTCTTCCTGCCTATTTGTTGCACAATCAGTTCCTGCTGAGTTGGTTGGTTCGCTCATTGCCAGAGATCCTTCTCTGTTGCTGATCTTTTCTGGCTGGCCATCTGATCTTCAGTGGTATTGAGCGAAAACAACTAGCTGTTAATGAAGGTCTGCAGTTTGTTTGAGATGCTCTTTATTACGTGCAGTGCAAGTCTCTGATCCGTATAGTGAGTAGCACTGACTGACTTCACATTGGAGTTGAAAATCCGGACCTTATTTTCATTTTGATGCTGAGTGCTGTTCACCTCCACACAGACTTGATAGTAGTGAAAGCTTGTCTTGCTTTTCCAATTCTTGCTTTGATATCCTCGTCAGTTCCGTGCGCTTGTAGTTGAAACGATGCTTTCCAGGTCGGTAGGTTATGGAGGTTTCTTCTTTCAGGTTCGTTCCATTTATGATGCCTGATTGTTGTCTGCTGTTGTTTTTGTTGCTGTTGCTGCTACTGTTGGTTAGGAATCTTTATCATCTCTGTTTTCTCTATGTTCACCTGAAATCCTATCTTCTCTGGATGCTTCTCCTGACAACTTGTTGCTTTTCACTTGCATATCTTCCAGTTTGTGGGAAATCACACATATATCATTGGCGAAGTCCAGATCCTCCAAGTCTCTTTTTATGTGAGTCCACTCTATGCCTGTTTCCTCGCTGACAGCCGCTGTCTGTTGCATTATCCAATCTACTGCAATCAGGAAAATCATTGGCGATAGTAAGCAGCCATCCAGCCAGCTTGTCTTACTCCCATCTTCACTTCGAAGTCATCTGTGAGTTTCGCGTTGTGGATAACTTGGCATGCAGCATTGTCGTACAGCTGTTGGATGAGATGTATAATTGTCGGTGACACACCGTAGTATCGAAGTAGTTGCCAAAGCATCTCTATATCGACGCTTTCGAAGGCTTTTTTGAAAACGATGAAGTTGAGATAGAGAGGTGACTACCACTCCAAGCTTTGATCAATGATGATCTGTAATGTGGCGATCTGATCAATGCATGACTTGTTTCTCCTGAATCCAGCCTGTTCCGGTCGAAGTTTTCATCCAGATTGGCGTGTTTGATTCTCTCCAGGATGATGCAGCTTAGTATTTTGCAAAGAATAAGACTTAAAGGCTGATAAATTGGTCAAGTAAATATTTGATAAAAAATTTCATTCCCCCATGCCTCTAAGTCAAAACAGTTTTTCACTCACAGGTAGACAAAATCCAAGCTGGTTCGGAAACGCTCTTGCAAAAGTAGGCAACTGAAACACTTCATGTTAGATGTCCGTAGTCAATAGGCAGGATTTTGGTCTTATTTGCGCTCATATGAAAGACATATCTGAAGTATTAGATGCATAAATCCATATTTTCTTCAAAAAACAAATTGGCATCACTAACTGGTCAAGTCGTGCGTCGGTGGCACAGTGGTTAGGATGTACGCCGACCATGCATTTGGTCCGGGGTTCGATCCGCGACTGACGCACTCCTTTACTTCGCCAAACCAGTAATAAAAAGCCGGTAAAGAGGAAAGGTTAGGCATGAGGCTGGCAGCCTCAGCCTGTAAAAATAAACACTGCTACAGAAACTTCAAGCCTCTCGCCTGAAGCCTTATGTTCTACTGGGAACGTGAACGAAAACAAACTGGTCAAGTCATTATTGGAACCAATTTAGGTATCTAGTTGTAAGAATTGATACTCCCCTAAGAAATTTTCTCACTGCTGATAACTTTTAAAACGACTGTAATCAATTCAGGCTATCTTTCTTCCTGAACAGTGAAAGTCAGTTCAAATTTAGCTAACAGAAGTTCACTGAGCGAAAATCCGGAATTCAACTGCCACGTCTCTGTGGATTTGATTGATTTCAAGGTTAATTTGTCATGGACTGACATTTACTAAAAGACATACAGGGAGCGAAAAAGCAGTCTACAGTTATTTCATTTTCAGAGTTAGACAGCATAAGTGACTTTATTTTAGACAATTAGGACATTTGCGGTTTTTGCTTGGTTTCTCATATTGTCGTGGATACGTTTTATGGAAAGATGTTAAACTCATTATTTTTATTATTTTATTCCTTTACATTCCCAGTGGAACATATAGGGACTTCATGCTGGAGCTTTGCAGTTTCGGTAGCTGTGGTGTTTATTATTTTTACGGGATGGGGTTGCTAGCCTCACATGCCCAGCCTCTCCTCTTTACCAGTATTATTACTGGCGTGGCGGGGTAAAGGAGTGCGTCTGTGGCCGGGAATCGAACCCAAAACCACATGGCTGGCTGGCTGGCTAACCTTCTACCGCTGTGCCACCGATGCACAGGGTGTTAAACTAGAACAAAGTAACTGTCCACAGAAAACTCCTTGGTTCTCAGTGATTCTTCTATTTGGCATCATTTAGTGTGAAAATCAACTTTGATGCCGTGTAAAAAACATAGGCATGTAGTATTTTGTTAATCCGTCAAGGGTTACAAATATATTTTTGACTAATAAGTAGCAATACAATTATAAGAGTAATGATACTTTTTAACTGGTACATATCGATTTTTGTTTTATAATATTTGGTTAGTCAATTGATTGTTTCCAACCCGATTTTGTAATCTTTTATTGATTTTGTGTCAAATATTGGTTCGCTAACAATTTTAGTATAGTTGAGAGTTAGTTTCATCTCAGTATTTGGAACATTTTTTTTCTTTATTGCATACAGTCCTCTTATATATATTTAAATATTAGAGCATACCTAATTTCTGATATACACCTTTCTGACAGTCTTATCTCTCATATTTTTTGTCCGATTGTTTGATTATGGATTTCTGACCTGAATAAATTTACAGAATAAGAGATACATGCGTTGTTAGCACTTGAAGTATAAAAGTTAACATAATTTCCATCTACCTATGCATATGACTGAGAGACAAGTATGCGTCTTTAGACTTAAGAAGTTCTGAAATTAATCTATGGTTAATTTTCATATGTATCTGGACTTCGTCGATATCATATATATGTATGATTTCCCACAAACTGGAAGATATGCAAGCGAAAAGCAACAAGTTGGTCGAAGAAGCATCCAGGGAAGATAAGACTTCAGGTGAACATAGAGAAAACAGAGGTGATGAAGATTTCTGGACAAGAACAACAACAACAACAGATAACAATCAGCCAGCATAAATGGGAGGAACCTAAAAGAAACAATCTTCTTCAAAAACCGACCGACCTCGGAAGCATCGTTTCAACTACAGCCGCACGGAACTGATGAGGATATCAAAGCAAGAATCGGGAAAGCGAGAAAAGCTTTCATTTCTCTCAAGTCTGTGTGGAGGAGGTCAACAGCACTCAGCGTCAAAAATAAGGTCCGGATTTTCAACTCCATTGTGAAGTCAGCCAGTGCAACTCACTATACGGATCAGAGACTTGCACTGCACGTAATAAAGAGCATCTCAAACAAACTGCAGACCTTCATTAACAGTTGTTTTCGCTCAATACTACTCAACATCAAATGGCCAGCCAGAAAAGATCAACAAGAGGGATCTCTGGCAATAAGCGGACCAACCCAGTAGGAACCGATTTTGAAACAAATAAGCAGGAAGAAATAGAGGAGGAAACAAACCATCAAGTGACATCACTAGACAAGCCATCGCTCAAGTGTAACCCGACTGAAAGGGAAGCGGTGAGTGTGTCGTCAGTGCAAGGGTGACTTGAAGGAGGTGATGTGAAGAGGAGATGAAAGCGTGTGGGCAGACTTGGAGACAGGTGAAGACACTGGCAGAGGAGTTTGGAATAAACACAGGAGTCAGACAAGAGTGCTTATTATCACCAATGATGTTCCTAATTGTGGTGGACAGGACATAATTATGCGTCAGACATTGGGAAACGAGAAGGCAGAAATATCCTGGACCGACGTTAAGAACCTAGTAGACCTGCATTTCGCGTGTGGATGATTTATGTTTGATGTCACACAAAATCGAAGACTTTCAAGCGAAAACCGACAAACTGGTCGAAGAAGCAGCAAAGACATAACTCCAGGTGGACATAGACAAGACGGAGGTTATGAAGATAACCAACCAACAACAACAACAACAGCAGCAACATCCAGTGCCAATCACCATCAACAGGGGGGATTTGAAAGAGGTTACTTCATTCACTCACTTATCTAGGCAACCAGCATTGTCTTAACTGCAGGCAGGTAGAACGGACGAGGATGTCAAATCGATAATCGGGAAGGCGAGAAACACATTCATCAACATGAAACCAATCTGGAAATCCTCGTCGCTCAACCCAGTCAGCATCAACAACAAAATTCGGATTTTCAATACAAACGTCAGTCAAGTCAGTCAGTTCTTCTATACGGATGGATCAGAAACTAAGCGGCGGGTCACAAAGAATGAGTATTTCCAACAGCCTGTTGCACACCTTCATCAACAACTAACTGTCTTCGCCGGCTCTATACTGAAGATCAGATGGCCGGAAAGAGCAAGAACCAACAAGAAACAAACTGTGGGAACGAACAAAACAAGAAGCAATCGCTCAACAAATATGCAGGGGAAAGTGGAGATGTATTGGACACTCACTTACTCACTGGCTGAGGCCACTCGCTGGGTAACATCGCGCGTCAGGCCAACGCTCGAGTGGATACCGAAAGGGAAGCGGCGGCGAGTTTATCGTCAGTGCGAGGTTGACATGGAGGAGATCGTGTGAAGAGTAGTTGAAACAGTATGGACTTACGTGGCTGCAAGTGAAAAGTACAGCAGAAGACAGATGCAAGTGGAGACGTGTAGTTGAAGCCGTATGTTCCACTAGGAACCCAAGGGAACAGTTATAATAATATATATCTAGTAACTTCTAAAACTACATAGTTGTTGATTGCTACTTCCTTGGATCAAAACGGTCTCCTGAGTAGACACCAACCTTAGTTAAATAATGAGTAAAGAACAATGGAAATGGACCTGTCTGTTTCTTTCTAATTTAAAAAATTGTTTTATAGTAGACGTCATAAGTGTTGAAACGGCTTGTCTATTCGGCTGTTATTTAATTCAGCATTGACTTGGCTGCCTTATCTCTTCTTAGATGTATTATCGTTGATTTGTGGATGTGCATACACCTTTAAACTGGGATACACTGGCTTTAATTTCCCTGGAAGCTAGGAGCAATAAACATTTTTCAGGTAAAATGTTTGATGGCCCTGTGATGCCTCTGAACTAAAACGTATGACTGAGAAGCCGCCATTTTCTTCTCAGACAGCATCTACATCGTTAACTTCAAAACAAATTAAACGTCTGAAATTCTCTGAGGGTGCAATAACTAACCATCATTCTCGACTATCTTAACTGTAGTTGTTTATCCAAGGTTGAGTTTCTTAAAGTAGAATTTACATGTGTATCAGTACTGATCGTCTCGCTGAATTTATTTATGTTCAGAGGTAAGAAAATCTACAACAACAACAATAACAAATAACTACGTCTAAAGTCATCAGAAAAATCGGTCATAAAGAATTCCAAAGCTCATTTCATTTTGAAGTTAGCATGGAAGATATTGTTCAGAAGGACTATTACAATATCCAAGTTGGAGAATGCAGTGACACCAAACACATCCACCTGAGCTAGAAATATTGTCCATGGTTATTATTTTGATGTTCAGTGGATCTGTAGATAAGTTTTTTCAAGCATCAATCTAATCTTTCCACTAATCAAATAATCCCCGAGATAAACATCACAGGATATATTGTTTTTCACATAAAGCTCAAAACTAAAACAAAACTGTCATTCACCTTGTTTTATTGCACATATTTTGACTGTTTCACTAGTCTGTTGTGTTGGCTGTCTTTTCATAGATATCACTTTGCATCTACAACAGAGGTCTGCTTCACCATATTATTATTTCCTTTAACTCCTAGAGGAACATAGGGTTTCAGCCGCACATCGCCATTGCGTTCGGTTCTCTGCCAAAGTTTTCACCCGCCTCCAAGTCTGCCCACACGCTTTCATCTCCTCTTCACATCACCTCCTTCAAGTCACCCACGCTCACACTGACAACCAACTCGCCGCTTCCCTTTCAGTCGGGTTCCACTGGAGCAATGGCTTGTCTAGTGATGTCACTTGATAGTTTGTTTTCTCAGAGTATGGTCAACCCACCTCCATTTCTTCCTGCTTATTTGTTTCACAATCGGTTCCTGCTGAGTTGGTTCGCTCATTGCCACAGATCTCTGTTGCTCATCTTTTCTGACTGCCCGTCTGATTTTGAGTGGTATTGAGTGACGACAACTGTTAATGAACTTCTGTAGTTTGTTTGAGGTGCTCTTCATGACGCGCAGTGCAAGTCTCTGATCCGTATAGTGAGTGGCACTGAATTCACATTGGGGTACTCAGTGCTGTTGAACTCCACACAAACTTTAGAGTAGTGAAGGCTTGTCTTGCTTTCGTGATCCTTGCTTTGATATCCTCATCAGTTTCGTCCGCCTGTAGTTGAAACGATGCTTCCAAGTTCGGTTGGTAAAGGAGGCTGTTTCCCTTAGGTTCCTTCTATTTGTGCTGATCTTTGTCTGTTGTTGTTGCTGCTGTTGATGGTGTTGGTCATGAATCTTCATCACCTCCGTTTTCTCTATGTTCACCTGAAGTGGTGTCCTATCTTTTCTGAAGGCTTCTTCTGCGAAGTTGTTGCTTTTCGCTTGCATATCTTCCAGTTTTTGTGGGAAATCAGACATATATCATCGTTGCTTCACCTTAATATCATCTTAATTTGGACCAATAGAATGCATGCCTACAATATACCGTTGAAAGCCTTTGAGCTGCTCAGTAATCTAATACTAACAAAGTATAGTATTTCATTGGTTCATCTGAAGTATCTCTCAATTTTAAAGCCTCAATCTATATCTGATTTTCTAAATTTATAAGGTGATTTCGTCGGCTGACAGCAGATGTTTCGTTATCAAACCGAACATTATTACTTCATTACCTGAATGAATAAACCTTCCTGACGATTGTATTCAACTACCTAACATATATTTGTTGCATTTTTCGAACGAGTAAGGTTATGCGTGTCTGGTCACTGACTTTACAGCAGAGTACTTGACTCAACATTGACCAGATAAATGCTACTTGCAATAAAATATCTTATCTCATTGGTTTTTCTGTATATTCCACACTTGAAGCACTTCTAAACAATGTCAGAATTTGCTTTATTTTTTCCAGATGAGTTAGAAGGGCTCAGTGTACAAGAAACTTCTACTGCTCTGTTAGCTTCTAGTTGGATGGATGCAGAGTTGGATACAACGCGATCGCGTAGTCGTCTATGGAGTCGTTCAAAATATGAAACAATAGAAATGGATAGTGCTGGTGATGCTTCTGATTCATCTAGCGAAATGAAGTTTGAGTTGGATGAGTACTGTGAAACGGAGCTTGAAAATGGTAGGCTGCTTTAATGTATCATACTATATGTATGTATACGTATATAAACTGTTCATCCTGTTTACATTAAGCTGATTAACAAGTGAACTGCCAATTAAAGCTCACTTTTCCATCTTTGTTAATAGTATGAAAAGATAATCAAAGTGTTTGTATTTCCGAATTCCGTAGTAACTTCCGTAGTAAATCTTTTTCTTCTCAAAATGGAAAAAAGCATATCCTTGTTGAAGGAATAACTTCTTCCTGGGATCCCCTTGGCTAGAAAACTTGTTCACCACTCAAACAGCAAATAGCAGATAACTGCAAAACCTATCACTGAGTCACTGTGACATAGATTTTCCAGTGGAGTCTGCCAGGATACTGGACTTCCATAAGGTAATTAGAATCAGGAAGATAAATCTGAGTAAGATAGATAATCACTGTTATTGTAATATGTTTTTAGTATTTTAATAGATTTATGCGTTGAAGTTTCTGTAGCAATTTGGTTAAGTTTCGGGGGTGGAGTTGCTAGCACCACTTCCCAACCCTCCCTTTCTCTCCGGGCTTGGGACCGGCTAGAAAACTAGCCAGCTAGTAATCTAGGTGAGGTTAACATGTTTACTGACTCAAAAGCGGAACTAAGCGACAGTACTGGAATTAAATTAATTCAAAAGACTTTGATCTTAGCAATAGAAGTTACATGAAGCAGGGGGAGATGGATCCATTGTATTTCATCAGTCGGTATCTTATCAACTACATACAAGCTGGATAATGAAAGTCATTGAACATAAAATTTGGGACAAAAATTGAGAACGATATATGGATGAATGTAAATATTAAAGTAGTAAAATATTAAATTACTGCTGTACTTATACATGTAATATGATGATAATGATAATAAAACGCAAAATGTCGAGAACCAGAGTAGCAACAAGCCACTGAGTTACATAAATCATAAGATTACTGAATTAATTGTGTTCTCTGAATAGGTTGATTTCATTCTGAAGCTTCCATCGTCCTTCTAGACAACATCTTCACCGCAGTTTTCAGTACAAAATGGACTTATATAAATTCTCCGTGAATGATGATGTAATTGTATCTCCTGGTAGCCACTGTCGTGACTCGTTGTTAATTTGTGTGTTTCTATTGATCATATTTCTATAGACTTGGAATTCGAAATTTCTTGTCACGTGAATTTGGTCTATAATAATGTGTTTAGATATGATGGAGAAGATTTGAAGCTCAGGTGGATGATTTTGATGTGGTTGTGTTCTCTGAGCTGGATAGTTAATTTGAGAAGCTTTCATCACCCTACTAGGTGACATCTTCAGCGCATACTTCAATTCATTGAAGTGAGCTTTTAGATTTCTCCACGAGTTTATTAATCATCTCTCCTGGTGACCTTGGACGTGATTGGTTGTTTTTGTGCGTTTTCACACCATCTAGGCTACTTGTATTGGAACTGATTGTTTCTTTGACTTGAACTTTGACTTTTCTTGTGTGAGGTTTCTTTCTTATCGGTTGATAAATTTTGTCAATCTCGATGTGTCTATTGATTGATGATTCACTGGAATGCCAAGCTTCTAAAAATTCTCTAGCATTTTTGTTAATGCTTATTCCGATGTTAATGCTTTAAACAAATCATTTATCATGAAACAAATTAATATGGTTTTACCTGATGTACCTAGTCAAGATAATGGTCATTTTCTGGGTTTTAAAGAAAAGGATGTACTATTATGTTTGAATTCTTTAAATCCAACACACAGCCTTAGTCCAGATGGTGTACCAAGCATTCTACTTCAGAAGTGTGCAGACATCTTGTGTCATCCTCTCACTCAAATCTTTAATGCATCGTTCAACAGGGAAACGGTATCTGCTGACTAGAGAATTTTTAGCAGCTTGGCATTCCAGTGAATCACCAATCAATAGACACATCGAGATTGACAAAATTCATCAACCGATAAGAAAGAAACGTCATACAAAAAGGGCCAAAGTTCAAGTCAAGGAAACAGTCAACATCAATATCGATACAAGTGGCCTAGAAGGTGTGAAAACACACAAAAGCAACTAATCACGTTCAAGGTCACCAGGAGAGATGATTAATAAACTTGTGGAGAAATCTTAAATCTCACTTCACCGAATTGAAGTATGTGCTGAAGATGTCACCTAATAAGGTGATGAAAGCTTCACAAATTAACTATCCAGCTTAGAGAACACAACCATATCAAAAATAATGTGTTCAGTAATCACTAATTTACTTGAGTACCAGGCTTCTAGGAATTCCCATTATTATAAGATTATGCAAATCGCGTCGGTGGCATAACGGTAAGGATGTTCGCCAACGATGCACATGGTCCGAGGTTCGACCCCGGCTACAGACGCACTTCTTTACCTCGCTCGCTAAGCCAGAAATAATGCTGGTAAAGAGGAAAGGTTGGGCCAGATGAGGCTAGCAACCCCATCCCGTAAAAATTAAACACCACTGCTACAGAAAATTCAAGCCACTTGCTTGAAGCCCTATGTTCCACTGGGAACGTGAAGGAAAAAAACGCAAATCTCTAGAAAATTGTTACTATAAAAATGAACTCCCTTGTTCATATATTACTTTGGGTGAATTTTTATGATCTATACTTGATGTCCTGTGTTGATCAGATGCCTTATGGTTGAGCTACTCAAAGATTTATTATTTTTCTTAGTCGCAGATATTTCAATGTGTGGTTAGAAACAAAAGAAGCACTAATAAATAGTAAATATTTGTTCATTGAATCAACACTGAATACATGCGAGGTTTTTGTATTTTGTAAAGTCGACACTTCCAAAGATAAAAAGTGACTACACGCTGTAACATTGTAATTATGAAGTTGGCAAAAGGCATAGCAGCTACTTTCATTTCTGATAAATAAAGATCCATTTCTTGTGATCACCTGTAAAGATGGAACGCCTCTTTGTGAACCTTACCAATTCCTTAATTTTTCATTGCTTTGTGGAATCATTTTTATGAGGAAATGAGAAAATATCTTTATCGCTAAGTAATCACATAAATTTATCTTAAAATTATTATAAGAGAGAAAGAGAGATTTTTGGCGCTCTCTGGCACTAAGATGAAAAGAAATAAGTGTCAGTTAGTGTCAGTATTAGCTGGGTCACTGAGCAAAAATTTACGCTCATCCAGTTGTTAATACTGCATTATTATTATTATTAATGTTTACTTTAATTCCCAGAGGAGCACAGGGTTTCAGTTGTCGTCTCCATTGCGTTCGGTTCTCTGTCAACGTTTTCACCTGGCTCCAAGTCTGCCCACATGCTTTCATCTCCTCTTCACATCACCTCCTACAAGTTATCCACACTCGCACTGACGACCAACTCACCGCTTCCCTTTCAGTCGGGTTCCACTCGAGCAATGGCTTGTCTAGTGATGTCACTTGATGGTTTGTTTTCTCACAGTATGGCCAGCCAATCCACCTAAATTTCTTCTTGCTTATTTGTTTCACAATCGGTTCCTGCTGAGTTGGTTTGCTCCCACAGGTCCGTATTGCTGATCTTTTCTGGCCGGCCATCTGATCTTGAGTGATATTGAGCGAAGACAACTGTTGATGAAGGTCTGTAGTTTGTTTGAGGTGCTCTTTATGACGCACTGGCCAAGTCTCTGATCCGTATAGTGAGTAGCGCTGACTGACTTCACATTGGAGTTGAAAATCCGGATGTTATTTTTGATGCTGAGTGCTGTTGACCTCCACACAGACGTGAGAGAAATGATAGTTTGTCTTGCCTTCTCGTTCCTTGCTTTAATATCCGCATCAGTTCCGTGCGGCTGTAGTTGAAACGATGCTTCCCAGGTAGGTAGGTAGGTAAAAGAGGTTGTTTCTTTCAGGTTCCTCCCATTGATGCCGATTGTCATCTGTTGTTTTTAGTTGTGGTGTTGCCCAGGAATCTGAATCAGGTATGAAACAGTTTCTACGTGAGAACATATTCACTGCATAGGGATAGCTGACTATGGGCTAAACTTCCTAGAGTTTTGATGAAAAGTCATGACTACTGGAATCCATCCATTTTAGTATGTGGACGTGCACTCACTGATAACGCACGCAGTGGAGCTGTACATCACGAAAAAGACATAAATCAGCATTCATGGACTACTGAATCCCGTCCCAATGGCTAAAGGGAAACTTTTGATATCTGCCGACCTGCATGGGTACATGCTACTGGAGAATCGCAAAATAGGACAAAAGAGCTGCCTAGAGCTCACTGCTTTTCAGAAGTTCTCTAGATGATTTTGTTCGTAATGGAAACTCATCTTGAAATCAATACTCAATAAGATATGAAAATTTCCTTTGAATGTTGCTACATAAGTTACTGTTATGAAATGTATTGATACAGAGAGTTGGAAATTATTATCAAAAGTCAAGGTGATTTATTTCTCTTTCATCTTAATAAATCGCATTTGATTCAAAACTGCTTTCTGGGCTAACCAACAGCTGTACGACAATGCTACATGCCAAGTAATCCACAACGGGAAACTCACAGATGCCTTCGAAGTGAGGACAGGAGTAAGAAAAGCTGGCTGGCTGCCTACTATCGCCAATGATTTTCCTAATTGCAATAGACTGAATAATGTTACAGACAGCGGCGGACAGCGAGGAAACAGGCATAAAATAGACTCATTCAAAAAACTTGGAGGATCTGGACTTCGCCGATGATGTATGTCTGATTTCACACAAACTGGAAGATATGCAAATGAAAAGCAACAAGTTGGCAGAAGTAGCATCCAGAGAACATAGGACTTCAGTTGAACATAGAGAAAACAGAGATGAGGAAGATTCCTGGCCAACACCACCAACAGCAACAACAACTACAATAACAGACAACAATCAGCATAAATGGCAGGAACCTGAAAGAAACAACCTACTTCACCAACCTACCTGGGAAGCATAGTTTCAACTACAGGCACACGGAACTGATGAGGATATGAAAGCTAGGATCGGAAAAGCAAGACAAGCTTTCATTACTATCAAGTCTGTGTGGAGGTTAATAGCACTCAGCATGAAAATGAAAATAAGATCCAGATTTTCAACTCCAATGTGAAGTCAGTCAGTGCTACTATACGGATGGATCAGAGACTTGCACTGCGCGTCATGAAGATCATCTCAAACAAGCTACAGACCTGCATCAACAGTTGTCTTCGCTCAATACCACTGAAGATCAGGTGGCCAGCCATAAAGGATCAGCAACAGAGAGGGATCTCTGGCAATGAGCGAACCAACCAACCAGGAACCGACTGTGCAACAAATAAGCAGGAAGAAATGGAGGTGGATTGGCTGGCCATACTGTGAGAAAACAAACCATCAAGTGAGTGACATCACTAGACAAGCCATTGCTCGAGTGGAACCCGACTGTATTGGAAGCGGCGAGTTGGTGGTCAGTGCGAGGGTGGGGTGACTTGGAGCGCGTTATGTGAAGAAGAGAGTAACGCGTGTGAGGAGGCTTGGAGCCCGGTGAAAACGTTGGCAGAGAACCGAAAGCTGAATCCCTATTTTCCTCTAGGAATTAAAGGAAACAATAATAATAATAACTGGTGTAAGCTGAATGCGGGTAGAAAGCTTTCAGTTCGTGTAGCAGTATGAGGTTGTTCTTCTTTTGATTTAGAAAAGAGTCAGTGTTTTCTTAGAACAACACAACTATATTATCCAACCCTTTCTAGTTTCCATTAGTTATGCAATAACGATCTGCTTAAAGAAAACAATCCGTTCCGAATTCATAAATCTTAGGGTTGTGTATTGCCAGATGACTTACTCTGAACAACGGATCATGATATCACAACTCTTAACACCGCATGACTTTCACCTTACCTACCGTAATACTCACATTCTGAGACTGTCTCAATAGACAACCAGAATTCGGATGCCTTAAACTTGGCTTAGCTGTTTCATCTAAGCCGAACCGGGTACACTGTAGAGATAATCTCCACCCCAAGTGACCAAAATTGTTGTTCGATGTTTGAATCATTTTGATCTAGCCGGCAAACACTTCCACTTGACATGACTACTAATCTCCAACTCCTCATACTGTTAGGCAGTACGGGCCATTATCCATGACTGATTTAAATTATTCACATACAGGTAAAATGATGTTTTTTTATGCTCATTCTCTCTTTGATAGCATACTTTTTTATTTAATAGACACAATGGAAGACCAAGAGGTCAATACAATGACCTCAAAAGATATCCAAGTTCATCATGAATCTTCAAGAAAGATACAAACACGTGGTGGTACGCGAGACATTGACGAAAAACAATCAAATACTGATTTGAAAGGCCGGAAGTCTTTTACACTAAAAAACTTCTCAGACTCAAATCAAAGAAACAACAAACAAACTTCTCTGAATGATGTGAAACATGATACAGTAGGAATTTCACGTTATCTGTTATTCTGTGCACTGCATAAAGTTACTCCGTTGAGATCAGTTGTCAACAATCTCGGGAAAGAAAAGTTGTCTTTACAGCACAGAGGGTTGGCAAGTCTTGAGTTAAAGTTGATCACAGAAGCTTTAAGAGTAAGTAGACGTTTCATGTACATTTCATTGAATAATCTATGGTGATCCCTTAGTCTAATTGTATCACTTGAAAATTCTATATAAGTATAAATTTGGTCTTCAAGAGAAGCTTCTAGGTGAGTCATTGAGCACAAGATTTGTGATATTTTTGAAGGTGTAATTCAAATCAACTGTTCTATAGAAATAGCTTCCCGAGAAAACATAATAAGGATGTTATACTTTAGAGAAAAACACTTCAGACTCTATATTCACTAAGTGTTTTATTATAGGGCATCGCATGACGAGCCGTCTTTAATTATGCGTAAACAGCATCGATTGAGAGGTGCTTTGGCGACTACTTCGCTACTATGGGGTGCCACCGACAATTAAACATCTCATCCAACAGCTGTACGACAATGCTGTATGCCAAGTAATCCACAACGTGAAACTCACAGATGCCTTCGAAGTGAGGACAGGAGTAAGACAAAGCTACCTAGCTGGCTGGCAACCTACTATAGCCAATGATTTTCCTGATTCCAGTAGATTGGATAATGCGACAGACAGCATGCAATGAGGAACCAGGCATAAAATGGACTCACACAAAAAAGAACTTGGAGGATCTGGACTTCGCCGATGATATATGTCTGATTTCCCACAAACTGGAAGATATGCAAATGAAAAGTAACAAGTTGGCAGAAGAAGCATCAAAGATAGGACTCCAGGTGAACATAGAGAAAACGGAGGTGATGAAGATCCCTGGCCAACACCAACAACAACAACAACAGACAGCAATCAGCATAAATGGGAGGAACCTAAAAGAAACTACCTCCTTTACCTACTTGGGAAGCATTGTTTCAACTACAGGCGGAACTGACGAGGATATCAAAGCAAGGATCGGGAAAGCAAGGCAAGCTTTCATTACTCTCAAGTCTGTGTGGAGGTCAACATCATTCAGCGTCAAAAATAAAATCGGGATTTTCAACTCCAATGTGAAGTCAGTACTACTATACGGATCAGAGACTTGGCGTGTCACAAAAAGCACCTCAAACAAACTACAGACCTTCATAAACAGTTGTCTTCGCTTATTACTCAAGATCAGATGGCTGCCAGAAACGATCAACAAGAGGGACCTCTGGGATCGAACCAACTCAGCAGGAACCGATTGTGAAACAATTAGGCAGGAAGAAATGGAAATGGATTGGCCATGCTTTGAGGAAACAATCAAGTGCCATCTGAAGACAAGTCATTGCTCGATTGGAACCCGACTGTATTGGAAGTGGCGAGTTGGTCGTCAGTGTTAAGGTGAGGTGACTTGGAGTAGGTCATGTGAAGAGGAGATAAAAGCGTGTGGACAGACTTGGAGCCAGGTGAAAACGTTTGGAGAGAACCGAACGCAGTCGAGACGCACGGCTGAAGCCTTATGTTCCTCTAGGATTTGAAGGAAACAATAATTAATAATAATGCCTTTTTCTTCAGACGTTTGTCTTTGTTGGTTGCCCATCAATGGCACTAGTTGGTAGCAGAGTTACATAACAAGCTGAGAGAGAGAGTTTAAAATTTACGGGTCACTGAATTCCAGCCCAATGACCACATGGTTAACGGGTTAGCCTTGTAACTTCAGCGTCCTTAATTCGATCATTTGTGAGTCACGGATACGCAGGAAGTGGAGTGAAGAGCCTGTACACTTTTTTATCTTTCAATGGCTGTCATTGACTGATGTAGGTTCGTGGCAAAAGTTACAGCGGTAATAATAATATGTACTGTTGATATCGCCAACTGATGACTACTAACAAGGCCACACATCTAAAGTCAGACAAATTCATTCATTTGTATTGAGCCAGAAAAAGCAAGATATCTTCAGCTTATGACGAAATTCGCAGTTTGTAGGCATACACTGATAGATGAAGCGTAGTTTGGCAAAGGATTACTCTTTTTTATTGATATCATCCTCAAGCTGTACATAAGCATATAAATAATGCACTTTCATAACAAAAAAGGAATTTTTTCAAAGGTGTGTTGTCATTCAAAGTTTTGAGTTTTAGATAATAGTCAAGAGGTTCTAAATTACATAGTACAGAAACATTGATCTGGTAGGAACTAAGTGGGAATTTAAGTAAGTGGATTGAGTGAAGTAACACAATCGGTAGGCTTGATTAGAGTACAACTAAAAGTGAAGTAAGATCAAGTTGAGACCAGTGCCATAAGAAGTAGAAGTAAACTAGCGGGAGAATAAAAAACATAAAACTAAGAAAATGCATTGAAATTTGAGAGAGGGATCAGGGTTATTGTAGATCCAGTAGTTGAACAAACGTTTTACGTGTTCAAAGTTCACCTTTTCGACAAGTGGATCGCCATGGCTTTGGCAGTTTGAAGAAGTTGGAATCGCGATGATCTCCAACTTTAATCCAATAGCTTACACATTTCTGAAACTTTTCATTCTTCGTTCTGTTTCTCCTCATTGTTATCATTATTATTCCCCTGGGTTCCTATTGGAACATAGGGCTTCAACTACACGTATCCACTTGATTCTGTCTTCTGCTGTACTTTTCACCTGTATCCATGTTAATCCATACCGTCTCAACTCCTCTTCACACGATCTCCTCCATGTCACCCTTGCAATGACGTCCCACTCGCCGCTTCACTTTCGGGTTCCAGTCGAGCATTGGCCTGACGCGCGATGTCACCCAGCCAGTGGCCTACTCAGCCGGTGAGTGTCCAATCCATCTCCACTTTCTCCTGCATATTTGTTGGGCGATTCGTTCTTGTTTCGTTTGTTTCTTCCCATAGTTTGTTTCTTGTTGGTTCTTGTTCTTTCCGGCTGGCCATCTGATCTTCAGTATAGAGCCAGCCAGCGAAGACAGTTAGTTGTTGATAAAGGTGTGCAACAGGCTGTTGGAAATACTCATTCTTTGTGACCCGCCGCCAAGTTTCTGATCCATCCGTATAGAAGGACTGACTGACTGACTTGACTGACGTTTGTATTGAAAATCCGAATTTTGTTGTTGATGCTGGCTGGGTTGAGTGACAGCGGAAGATTTCCAGATTGGTTTCAGGTTGATGAATGTGTTTCTCGCCTTCTCGATTCTCGATTTGACATCCTCGTCCGTTCCACCTGCCTGTAGTCTAGACAATGAATGCTCCCTCCCTAGATAAGTGAATGAAGTAACCTCTTTCAAATCCCTCTCGTTGATGGTGATTGGTGCTGGCTGTTGCTGCTGTTGTTGTTGTTGTTGTTGGTTGGTTGGTTATTTGCATAACCTCCGTCTTGTCTGTGTTCACCTGGAGTCCTGTCTTTGCTGCTTCTTCGACCAGTTTGTAATTTGTATTTCAAGATAAATCAATATTACATCTAAGAGATACATGTTGTTTGAATTAATGTATATTCTACGGCGCGTGTTTTGCTCCTTTAAGTAAGTGATACATTCTTTTTTTCATGATAACATCAGTGGTATCATTTCAACAGATAACGGTTACTTTTTGTTTATGTTTAAATATACTTTTAAGGAATATAATTAGGTAAATTTGAATTCTCATCAGACAAATGCTTTACAGTCATGCAAGATTATGTTCATATGTAGCAAATCTAAAGGAAATTATGAAGACTTCGTGATAATATGCAATTTCTGAAGAAAGTTCTCATTGCCATTTTTCAAAAATTATCTCATTAGCATAAGAATTATTTGAAATCGATTAATTTCAAAAAAATTATTTAGTTTAGATTATTGACTACTTTTGTGATATTATCAATTATAAAATATATTGAGTTAGTTAGATTAATTGAAAATTTTATTACATTTGAAGAAGAAAGAGTCCTAAGTAGGAAAGAAAGAAAGCGTAAACAGTTTTCACCACATTCAGTTCTCTGTCACCACTCTCATCAGCTAACTCTATGACTTCCATTTAGCTTTCGTTCCTTCCTGATGGCATCCTTTCAATATCACCTTGGATAACCAGTTTTTGTCTGTCGCGACTGGGGTTCCTTGTCAAAGTGTTGGTGTGTGTGTTTTCACGTAGAAGATATACTCAAAGTATGTCCAATTCATTTCAATTTGAATACCCAGTGGGTAATAAATAGGTCGTTGATTATCCTTCCTGACCGACTCTATCTGGTCTTTACTATCAAGCCATCGAAGGCATCTATCTGTTGATGGAAGTCTTCAGTGGGGCCTGTTGGAAATGACTACAAAATTTGATATTAGATAGTTGGAGGAAATCGGCCACAGGAAGCCTTGGACCTAGGTTTCGTGCTAGTTGGCACTCATCAGTCAGCAAGGAGTATCTGCAACCTTGAAAGAAGTCATATCCCTTCTGAGTTTCGAACCTGCGTCACCCAGTGCCGCTTACACAATACTGAGAAGAATCAGAAGCAAAATTAAGAAAGCGACACCTCCACCTCGGAAGAAAAACAGTATAGGCAAAATGGAAATTTGGCTACTTAATTTAATTCTACCATTCAAGGGTGACCACATGATGCTGCTGACAGCTCAAGGACTTCGGTCAGCCATCAAACGCACATTCTACACAACTTGATTACTCTATTTAATTATATTCATCCAAATATCCGAGTGACTTCCGAACGCGAATCGAATAACAAACTCGGTTTCCTCGATATTACAATAACCAGGAGAGATGATGGTACGATTCAGAGATTTATTTTTCGTAAACAGACATGGAGTGGACAATATCTTCATTTTACCAGTTTTGTTCCTATCCAGTATAAACGTTCCCTAGTGTGAAATGTTTGTTCTCTAGGGCCCGAAAAATATGCACGAGTGACACATTGATGGATGAGTTTCGACATATACATTCAGTTTTATTAGCTAATGGTTATCCGGAAAACTTTATCACTTGTCACAGTAAAGAAAGATCACATCTCGAAAAGACAGCTTCGGTACCAAAGAAAGCTATCTTTATTAACCTACCATTCAAGGGCGACCAGATCATGCAGTTGACAGCTAACTCAAAGACTTTGGTCAGCCATCAAACGCACATTCTACGCCGCCACATCTCTTTTTCTCACTTGCCGAACATTTTCGATCCCTGTACCTACGATTAAAGGACGAAATTCTGTGCACTCTACTTCAAACTGTATCTACAAGTTCACCTGCAAATGCTGCGGTGACACCTATATTGGTAGAACCAACAGAATGCTCCAATATCGTCGCAAAGAACATGTTCCAAAATGGCTACTAAATCATATAGAAAATCCCAATGCGAGTAATCTGAATAGAAATCCAGCATCATCCATTGCAAAACACTTATTAATGTCAGGTCACAAAATCAATATTATTAATGACTGTTTCACAATTATTTCACATAACTCTAATTCAAGGATGGTTGTTGAAGGTGATGGAAGCACTTTGGATTAATCACATACAGCCTAAACTGTGTGTACAAAAAACACTAGACTTCAATCTTCGCCTACCATGGACTACATGACCTATCTAAATATGATTGGTCATTAGTATGTACTTTTGTGTTTTTTATTTAACTGAGTAATTGTCATGAAGTTTATTTTATTATTGTTAACCATGTTAACTGTAAAGCGGTTGAAACGAAACTACGAAATGACGATGTCATCTCGCGAAAATTGTCTTTTAAATGCCTTATTCAAATTTATCAAAGGGACTATTTGTTTTAATTCTATTCTATAAAAAATATAAAAAAACCAGTAACTCATGGTTAAGACAGAAAATCCTTATGCTTACTGGCTGGCAATGTGACAACTGAAAATTCGAATGATGATGTAGACTTTAGTAATCTAGTTTAAGGACGAATATTCATCTACTATACATGCATAAGTAACATTAATCAAATATTTTATCTTCCGTCCCTCCTGATGATAAGTTGGAATTGACCATATCGATTTTTTTCATATGGATTTAGTATTGATTCATTTAAAGTTTTATAAATCACAGTGTGAATAATTGCATTTGATTATAAAATGAGAATTTGTTTCCTGAAAAAAGCAGGGCGCATACTAACTGGCGCATATATCGAAAAAAAAGTGAAATCAGCCGGCTAATATATAGTATTGTCTTTGGCGAGTTCATTTTTTGAGACAAACAGTCACATTTACACACACAGAGTTCGCTTTCATAATAGAGGATAGAGAAGAAAGAGATGCTTTGCCATAATCATAGTTACTAAAATATTAATCAGTATGGGGGTGGAGTCAAATATGACAGTATCAGGGTTATGTAATGAGGCAAATAATTTGACAAATGCATTATAATCAGGAAGCACATAGGAACAAGAGGAAATGGGATAATACCCTAAGAGTTGGAAATAGATAGAGTGGTTATATCAGTTCACGTTTCCTTTTAAGGCCAGGAATATGAGCTGTGATCAAAATTTGACCTCGGACTTACAAATATTGGTCTATCTTTGTTAAACACCTTAAACAGAGTGTGTATGTGTGTGTGGGTAAACAGTTGTAAAGCATTTCTTAACGTCTCCATAAGAAGATATGGACAGTCGAGAATTTTGACCAAGTATTAATAATTAGTGATACATATCCATTTTTTTATTTATTAATCAGGATTTCCTATACATCAGCTAACATCACACCTTCATGTTTGTTCAAACTGTTAGTATCTAGAATTTTATGAGTATGTCTACTTCTCACTCGGCGCCCAAATATTCTGTCAAATCTTGCCAACAGTTCATTTAAATTATTTTGCAATCTAATTAAATTAACAAAGAAACTGCGTAATTGGCACAATCATCCTAAATCCTTAGCTGTCGAGCCGCCTAACAACTCCAGTACGTCGAATAAAGCAGCTCAATATTCAGAAAGAAGACAAAGCAATAAGTCCGACACGGTGCTTCTACTAAACTCTAATCCTAAACACCATAATTTTGAAAATACCTCTAATCATAAAATTCTAGGTACTAACAGTTTGAACAGACATGAAGGTGTGATGTTAGCTGATGCATAGGAAATCCTTATTAATAAATAAAAATGGATATGTATCACTAATTATTAATACTTGGTCGAAATTCTCGACTGTCCATATCTTCTTATGGAGACGTTAAGAAATGTTTTACAATTGTTTACCCACACACACACACACACACACTCTGTTTAAAGTGTTTAACAAAGGTAGACCAATATTTGTAAGTCCGAGGTCAAATTTTGATCACAGCTCATACAATTTTGTTTGTCATACTTGTTGATACTTGTTGAATGACTCATGATTGGACAAAGTTTTTAAAAACAAGTGATGTTCCTTTTTATATATAAACCTCTGTTATGTTAATTTCGATTAATTTCCCTGAAGAAGTTCGGACCAGATTGCCGAACGAAACGTTGGAATTACTCATTTCAATCTCGCTGAGATATTACAAATATAATTTTTTACAAATGTCTACTTCTCACTCGGCGCCCAAATATTTTAGAACTATTCTGTTCAATCTTGACGACAGTTCATAGGAAGTATGGTATTTAATCGTCATTTATTATATATCTAATTTGGACAATTACCTGTCAGTCGGTACAATAACATAATTTTTATTTTTAATATTCTTTTCTTTCCAGTACAACAACACAGTGACTTGGTTAGATTTATCGCATAATGTACTTCAAAGTGAAAGCCTAAACTCTTTGGCTAAAGTATTAAAGGAGAACACATTTATACAAACACTGGTGAGTAAATATATATTGATTTTAGACAATCGCATTATGTTACTTTTATGATTTCAACGAATAAAATTTAGCATTTTTACGAAGTCAATAGTGTGAGATGACACTCCACCTAGGTTTTCACTATAAATCTAGAATATTTAGATCATCGTAAGTTATCTCACTGCTGACATTATTATTATTGTTCCATTCGGTTCATAGTGGAACATAGGGTTTCAACTACACGTCTCCACTTGCTTCTGTCTTCGGCTGTACTTTTCACCTGCATCCATGTTAGTCCATACTGTTTCAACTCCTCTTCGCACAATCTCCTCCATGTCAACCTTGCACTGACGTCCAACTCGCCGCCGCTTCCCTCTCGGGTTCCACTCGATCTATTGCCTGAAGCGCGATGTCACCCAGCGAGTGTCCAATCCATCTCCACTTTCTCCTGCATATTTGTTGGGCGATTGCTTCTTGTTTCGTTTGTTTCTTCCCATAGTTTGTTTCTTGTTGGTTCTTCTTCTTTCTGGCCATCTGATCTTCAGTATAGAGCCAGCGAAGACAGTTAGTTAGTTGTTGATGAAGGTGTGCAACAGGCTGTTGGAAATACTCATTCTTTGTGACCCGCCGCCAACTTTCTGATCCATCCGTATAGAAGAACTGACTGACTTGACTGACGTTTGTATTGAAAATCCGAATTTTGTTGTTGATTCTGGCTGGGTTGGGTGACAGCGGAAGATTTCATGATTGGTTTCAGGTTGATGAATGTGTTTCTCGCCTTCCCGCCTCGATTCTCGATTTGACATCCTCGTCCGTGCTACCTGCCTGTAGTTGAGACAATGCTGGTTGCCTAGATAAGTGAATGAAGTAACCTCTTTCAAATCCCTCTCGTTGATGGTGATTGGCGGTGGATGTTTCTGTTGCTGTTGTTGTTGTTGTTGGTTGGTTGGTTATTTTCATAACCTCCGTCTTGTCTATGTTCACATTGAATTATATGTATTACTGAAGACAGCAAAGGGAAATGATTAAAAATGAACATATTGAAGGCACAGTTGATGAAGTAATCTAATCGACACCACCACCACCACCACCCACAACAGCAACAACGACTATCGATCACCATCACTGAGAGAAATCTGAAGGAAGTCACTTTTTTTCTCTTATCTAGGCAAGACTGTTTCAATTACAGATGATACAGGCGGAGGTGGAGGAGGCAGGCTCGGGAAGACATGAGATAATACCTTCATTCTTCTGAAATCAGTTATGAAAGCTATTACACCCAGGGTAAAGAATGCTAATGTCGAGTTAGCGCTTCTGTGTGTTTTAGAGACTTAGCATGTCATGCGACACATCTCCGGTAGACTGAATATTTTCGTCAACACTGCCTTCACTGGTTGGATATTGAAAGTTCGATAATTAGACACAAATAAAATAGCAACAAGAAACTCTGTTCCAACCAAACCGTTTTGGTTTTGCATTTTGCCCAGTAGATGATGGTCATAAACATGAATAAAATTAGTAATTTTTTACTGTTAGAACACTATAAAAGCGACATATTGTCCTCCCAGCGGAACGGTTTTTTTGTCCTTCACGTTCCGTAGTAGAACATAGGGCTTCAAGCTTGTGGCTTGAAGTTTCTGTAGCACTGTTTATTTTACAGGATGGGGTTGCTAGCCTCATGCCCAACCTTTCCTCTTCACCATCATTATTTCTGGCTTAGCGAGGTAAAGGAGTGCGTCGGTGGCCGGGGATCGAACCCCGGACCCTGTGCATGGTCGGCGAACGTCCTAACCGCTATGCCACTACCCAGCGGAACGCTAAAAACCTATATTTAAAAATAACATTCTGGGTTTCAAACGGGACTTTTCTTTTTTACCGCCTATTTGTTGTATTTAAAACAGTAGTTATCAATTCTCTTCATGAAATTTTTTTCAACTAGAGTTGTTTTTTTCTGTTTAAGTAAACAAGTTTCTGTAGGCGGCAAAATAGAATCGAAAGATGTGTATGAAAGTAGCATACTGGAGTGGCATGTCAGTCTTGATAAGCTGCATTGTAAGCTGCATTTTAAGAATTCATCGAGATATTTGTTCAATATTTATAGTTTTAAGTGAAAACAAAGTAACTGTGTTGGGAGTTGGATGTAAGGTTTGAATAGTGAGAGTCAAAGAGACATGTTTAACAGGACCTTAACTGGCCGGTATAAAGAAATTAAAGGGGTAGTCATTATTATTGTTATCGTTTCCTTTAATACCTAGAGGAACATAGAGCTTCAGCCACGCGTCGCCATCACGTTCGGTTCTCTGCTAGAGTCTTCACCTGGATCCAAGTCTTCCCACATGCTTTCATCTCCTCTTCACATCACATCCTCCAAGTCACCCACCCTTGCACTGACGACCACTCGCCACTTCCCTTTCGGGTTCCACTCGAGCAATGGCTTGTCTAGAGATTTCACTTGATGGTTTGTTTTCTCAGAGTATGGCCAGTCAATCCACCTCCATTTCATCCTGCTTATTTGTTGCACAATCGGTTCCTGTTGAGTTGGTTCGCTCATTACCAGAGATCTCTGTTGTTGATCTTTTCTGGCTGGCTATCTGATCTTGAGTGGTATTGAGAGAAGACAACTAGCTGTTAATGAAGGTCTGTAGTTTGTTTGAGATTCTGTTTATGACGCGCAGTGCATGTCTCTGATCCATATAGTAGCACTGACTTCACATTGCAGTTGAAAATCCGAATAGACATCAGGATCCTTCAAACTTGGACATTCTGGTGGATTTCATTAATCTACCCGCTTTATCAGCAAGTGCTTAACACTGCCAGTAGAATATGTGGAACTCATGTCATTTATTGTGAGTTCGTCACAAATAAAACATTTCAGGCAGCCTGTTGGAAACTTTCATCAACACCTTTCCCCTTCCCTCTGGTAGGCAGCGAATCATTCAGCAACCTGCTACCCAACAAATTTGCATCAAGAAATAGAGATGGATTCGAAATACTCCAAGAGAAGACATTCAGATGACACCACCACCTGGGAAGCAAACGCGGGTAGTTGGTAGTCAAAGGGTGATGCAAAATGAACGGAAAACTTGTAAGCAGTCATCGGACTAGTTGAAAGTGACAGCAGAGAAGCGAATTCTATTGAGATATTCACCAGTAAGACAAGGCTGCCTACTACCACCAATCATTTTCCTGATCGCAGTAGATTGAACAATATGATAGACAGCGGTGGACAGCGAGAAAATAGGCATAAAATGCACTCACACAAAAACTTGGAGGATGTGGACTTCGCCGATGATGATATATGTCTGATTTCCCACAAACTGGAAGATATGCAAGCGAAAACCAACAAGTTGTCACAAGAAGCATCCAGAGGAGATAAGACTTCAGGTGAACACGGAGAAAACAGAGGTGATGAAGATTCCTAAGTAACACCACCAACAGTAACAACAACAACAGACAACAATCAGCCAGAATAAATGGGAGGAACCTGAAAGAAACAACCTCCTTCACCAACCGACCTGGGAAACATCATTTCAACTACAGGCGCACGGAACTGATTAGGATATCAAAACAGTGAGGATCGGAAAAGCAAGACAAGCTTTCATTTCTCTCAAGTCTGTGTGCAGGACGTCAAAAGCACACAGCATGCAAAATAAGATCCGGCTTTTCAACTCCAATGTGAAGTCAGTGCTACTCACTATACGGATCAGAGACTTGCACTGCGCGTCATGAAGAGCACCTCAAACAAACTACAGACATTCATTAACAGCTGTCTTCGCTCAATACTCAAGATCAGACGGCCAGAAAAGATCATCGACAGAGATTCCTGGGAGCGAGCCAACCAGTAACTGATTGCGAAACAAATAAGCAGGAAGAAATGGAGATGGATTGGCTGGCCACACTCTGAGGAAACAAACCTTCAAGTGACATCACTAGACAAGCCATTGCTCGAGTGGAACCCGACTGAAAGGGAAGCGGCGAGTTGGTCGTCAGTGAGAGGGTGGGTGACTTGGAGGAGGTCATGTGAAGAGGAGCTGAGACGGTGTGAGCAGACTTGGAGCCATGTGACAACTCTAGCAGAGAATCGAACGCAATGGAGACGGGTGGCTGAAGCCCTATTTTTCTCTAGGAATTAAAGGAAACATTAATAATAATAATCATTCAGGCAACGCCATGTTTCCCAACGGACAAAAAATAAATAGTCATTTTGGATTGCATAACTTGAAAGGACAGTAAAAATTGTAGTATTGTCATCATTATTCAAACTTCCGGTTGGGTCTTCAAAAAAGATCTCATCATATTGATTTTGTTTTGTTTTGATGAAATGTTTTTATTCGCAGTACCTGAAGATTCACCTTCTAGATTTTAGGATGAATGACATGATGAATGCCTTCTAAGGTTGTAGATAAGATGGATTAAGTGGAAAATAGAATAATAAAACCTTATTTCCACATTATGAGTTTCTTTTCCATAGTGCTAATTCATCAATATACAATATTCTTGTGTAATCCTATGTCATACGAATATTTTCTTTTTGTTGGATTAGGTTTTAAGCGAATGTAAAATACGGAAAGACGGTCTATTGGAATTATATGATGTATTCATGAAAAATGTGTATATAAGAAATTTGGATTTGTCAGGTGAGAATAATAGTTTCAAATATTAAGGTTAATTAATGTAAGTGTAGAACTTGGGCATTGTGGTAGAATGTAATTCCACATTTTTGTTATCTCTTTACGTTCCCAGGGGAACACAGGACTTCAAGCTAGAGCTATTTTTTGAAGTTTCGGTAGCAGTGGTGTTTTTGTTTTAACTCGATAGGGGGCGGTTGCTAGCATCATGCCCACCCAACCTACCCTTTTCACCAGTCTTATTACTTACTGGCTTAAGGAGGTAAAGGAGTGAGTCGGACGAGGATTGAACTCCGAATCACATGCGTGATTGGCGAGTTTTCTACCGTTGTGCCACAGCAGCACGTTGGTAGACAATGATTATATTTCAACTTGAAACCATCTAATAACTCCCTTATGTATATTGGTTTAGCTGGTGTCTTACAATTGAAAACCATACTGTAGTCAGTCAAAATGTCTTAAGTACTTAAAACAAAGGGGGGGGGCAGCGTTTACTTTCTTGCGTTTCCCAGCAATTTACTTGACTTCTGTTGTATTACAAGTTATCAACAATAGTCTATACTTAGGGATGTTGTTGCTGGAAGTTATTCACTGTACACTGCAAGTTGACCAGAAATCAGAAAAGTTTAGTACTTACAAAACACTATTCGTCTTATTTTACAACAAAACTAACTACCTTGTCATTGGGTTGTGAGGTCACTTTATCACTAAACCTTTCTAACAGATAATTTAAATCAAGGGAAAACACTTTATGGTAGTAAGATTTGAAGAAAGTTTTTTTTCTTATTCCTTCACGTTCCCAGTGGAACATAGGGCTTCAAGCTAGAGGCGTGAAGTTTCTGTAGCAGAGTTTATTTTTACGGGATGGGGTTGCTAGCCTCATGTCCAACCTTCCCTCTTTACCAGTCTTATTACTGGCTTAGCGAGGTAAAGAAGTGCGTCGGTGGCCGGGTATCGAGCCCGGGACCATGTGCATAGTCGGAGAGCGTCCTAACCGCTATGCCACCGACGCAAAGAATACTTATTTCTTTATACACTAGGCGGTAACTAATGTCATGTATCTAGTTCTTGGAATTAGTGGAGACAGACCGGTAGAATTCAGTCTGCACCAAAACGAAGGACTAGACGGACGTCATATATATGTTAATACTTAATGTCCAATGAAAGTATGCGTCACAGTCCTACAGAAGGTCAGTCACCATCTCGGACGGTTTAGCTATAACATCTCTGACTGCAGGCGGCACTGGGTGACGCGGGTTTGAATCTCAGGAGAGACATGAGTTCCTTCAAGACTGCAGATAAACCCTGGTGACTGTTGAGTTCCAACAAGCACGAAACCCTGGGTCCGAGGCTTCCTGCCGATTACCTCCAACCATCTAATAAAATCAATTCCTCCAGTCAAACTTCAAGCTTTCAAAAACACTTAAATTATTGTAACAGATGATGATAAAAAGGTGGAATGGAAATCATGCTCGAAGCAAGAATCGAATCAACGGCATCCGAATTACCAGTCCAGTGCTCATACCTCATAGATTAGTTGATAGATTGTCAGACTATTAATCACAAAAAGGGAACCAGCACCAATTAACATATCCGTAGGCAGTTTTTCAACAGAAAACTGTCTCAGACAGTTTCACAATCATTTAATTTATTTCATGGAGGATTTCATCATGAGCTGACATCAGTTAAAGAACCACTGGAAAACCAGCTGGGAGTAATGGACAGCTGTTTCGTCCTAGTTTCGGACTCTTCGGCAATACACACCCACCGGGATTCGAACCCAGGACCTTCTGGTTACAAGGCGACCTAGCTCGTAGACCATTGAGCCACTGGGTCCCGATCCAGTGGTCCTCGAATTCTAACTTCTGCCAATTCACGACATAGCGCGACCATTTCGCAATGTCTCCTTCGATGAATTACTGCTTCATCTTCAACCTGCTGTACCCTGCTGGTCACAGCTTCCCACTAGAACCCCAGGTTAACTGCCTTAATAGGGCCAGTCGCTAATGAGAATCAGATTAATTTTCAAGTATTGGTTTTGTAGGGATTTTGTTTGATTGCATGGAGGATTTCATCATAAGCTGACGCACCGGTGGGTGCGTACTACTGATGAGTCCCAAACTAGGACGAAACAGTTGTCCAGTACTTCCAGCTGGTTTTCCAGGGGTTCTCTAACTGATGTCAGCTCATGATGAAATCCTCCATGCAATCAAACAAAATCCCTACAAAACCAATACCCGAATATTTAATTTATTGTCTCTGCTTTTGTTACTCATTCGCTAGAGCAGACAGAATATTACGCAATCAAGGAGTGAACTGAAATTTCGTCTGTTGTGTCATCGATTGACTTTATTAGTTCAACAAGGTTTAATTTAAATTAGTAAATCCTGATTTCTTATTCATCGAAAGCAAGCTCATGATGATAAACAAGAACAGAATCATGGGTTATTTATAGTGTTTGTCGTTAAAACAGAAAATGGATGCCTCTTGGATCTTTCGACAGAAATGATAAAAAAATTTGTATGAACTTTGATTTTTGCTAGTTCTTAGAGACTTTTACGCACTGACTACATTTTTGTATGACTTCAGAATTGACAGTAAGCGAAATCTTACCCTGAAACCTTGGGACTTGCAAATGACACACTGTGTATGGATGAACATCCTCAAGGTAGGAGGAGAGATGATTAGCTAGCTCTCTAGGGATACCTAATTCTCGACGACGACTGTTGAACTCTGTGGAAGGAAAAGCTATTTTTCAAATTAGTCAGTCACCATGAAGCTGCTTTAGCTGACATCCAGTTTGACGTTTTGTATTATTTTCATTATTCTTAGTTATTAATCCTAAAATTATTATTTCTTTCTCAATTAGGTTGTGAATTAGGTGATTCTTGTTGTAGTATGTTGGCTGAAATATTAACTGTAAGTCAGAGTCTTGTGTTTTTGATGTCATTTCAACACTTTGATGATATTTATAACAATAATCTATCAAGGCGAACGTTCAATTCGTTTCTTATGTAATCAGACAGTTTCACAGATTCTATTCAGTTTACAGTTTACAATTTATTTAGGATAGTAGGCTATATGCCTGTGTTAATCCTTTCGATTTGTTACACACAGGAGGTCCAATCTCGCCTTGAATGAGTCAATAGATGGTGCTGATACGACGTGTTCCGGTAGGGAGTTCCAGTGGTTCACATTTCGATGCGAAAAACGGATCTTCAGACGCAGACGATTCGACTGTGGTTTTTGAACCTTGAGGTGATGTCCTCACAATTGTTTGGTGCTAGAAGGAAGAAATGAATTAGATAAATTGGCTCCAAAATCATTTCTTAGGATACGGTATGCTAGTATTAGGTCACCCTTAAGTCGTCTGTATGACAGTGGAAATAAACCCAGTCGACTTAACCTCTCTTCATATGAGAGGGTTGAGAAACCCTTTATTAGCTTAGTTCCTACTCTTTGCACCCTTCCTAATAAGTCTATTTCGTATTTGAAACACGGGCTCACTGCCTGGATCCCATATTCCAAATGAGGTCTGATATAAGTCGGATATAATATATGAAATATTTCAGCGTCAAAGTTCGCTTAAGCCTTGCGTATGGCCCATAATATTCGAAAGCCCTTAGTGGCTGCCGCTCTACAGTTTGTTGATGTTTTCAAGTCATGCTGCACAACCACTCCCAAGTCCTCCTACTCAGTGACCACTGGGAGAGTAATGCCATTCATTGAGTAATTGTGCATGTGACTATGAGATACATGCATAACTACACTCTTGCTTAAGTTAATCTCCAAGGCCCAGTGCTTACACCAATGACTTAACAAGTTTAAATCTTCTTGCAAAGCAAGTTGAGCACTGTCATCGTGTAAAGTCCTCCATATCTTGATGTCATCAGCAAACAGTAAGCAGGAAGACTTAACTACCGATGGAATCTCCTTCAATGAAGTACCCTCAGTCATTCACAATTTAGTGACCTTAAGCTAAAAATGAGAACAGATTTAATACATTTCGACCTTCCACTCCAGTATAAGTCACATTTGAAATGGTTTACCTTTTAATTCAATAACCAGAACAGATACTTCACAGTAATTATACTTTTAAATGCTGCTTCTGACTTCTTCAGGATTTATAACTGCTCAAAGTGAAATAAGACAGCCCATATAGGATTCACACAAAAAGCTTGGAGGATCTGGACTTCACCGATGATATATGTCAAATTCCCCACAAACTGGAAGGTATGCAGGTAAAAAGAAACAAGTAGGCAGAAGAAGCATTCAGGGAAGATAGGACTTCAGGCGAACATAGAGAAAACAGAGGTGATGAAGATTCCTGGACAACACCACCAACAGCAACAACAACAACAGACAACAATCAGCATAAATGGAAGGAGCCTGAAAGAAACAACCTACTTTAACTACTCAGCTACCTGGGGAGCATCGTTTCAACTACAGGAGAATGGAACTGATGAGGATATCAAAGCAGTTAATATCGGGAAAGCAATACAACCTTTCACTACTCTCAAGTCCGTGTCAAGGTCAACACCACTCAGCATGAAAATGAAAATATGGTCTGGATTTTCAACTCCAATGTGAAGTCAGTCAGTGAGACTCACTATACGGATCAGAGACTTGAACTGCGCATCATGAAGAACATCTCAAACAAACTACAGACCTTCATTAACAGCAGTTTTCGCTCAATACTCCACTCAGTATCAAATGGCCAGCCAGAAAAGATCAGCAACAGAGAGGGATCTCCGACAATGAGCGAACCAACCCACCAGGAACCGATTGTGCAACAAATGGGCAGGAAGAAATGGAGATGGATTGGCTGGCCATACTCTGAGAAAACAAACCATCGTGTGACATCACTAGACAAGCCATTGCTCGAGTGGAACCTGAAAAGGAAGCGGCGAGTTGGTCGTCAGTGTGACAGTGGGTGACTTGGAGGAGGTCATGTGAAGAGGAGATAAAAGGGTGTGGGCAGACTTGTAGCCAGGTGAAAACGTTGGCAGTGAACCGAACGCGATGGAGACGCACGGCTGGAGCCCTATATTCCTCTAGGAATTATAGGAAACAATAATAATAATAAATAGCTTCACATGGAGTAATTGTTTGGCTAAATGACCCTATGTGCAATCATTAAATATCGCACTTTGTTTGTCCCAAATACCTTGATCCCTGAATTGAAGTTATTAGTTTTTTTGAGAAGTTTTGATCAGCGGGTACCACAATATTGGGGGGGTGAGGATACATACTCACGAATGACACTGGTTAGCTGTCGCGCTATATAAATATCGGGAAATGACAGAAGCAAGAATTGATGAGCCATTAGATTCCATCCCACTAGTTCAAACGTATGTCAGCCAGCCTAACAAGCTGAAGTTCCTGTGTCCAATCCCTGGTGAGGTAATCGGTGTTTCTGTGTGTGTGCGTGGCTGAAGAGTCCCAAGCAAGGATGAAAAAGCTGGCCAGTATTATCTAGGCTACAGTAAGTCGATAACTGAACTCAGTTCATGATAAAAAAGTTAAGGATAAATCAAATCCCTGAAAATCAACACCTGAAGATCAGTGGTAACTGCCAGTCAAGTCAGTCAGTGACATATGACCTTATCCGTGCAATTCACCAATCATAGTTTATGTAGTTAGAAATCAGTAGGCTATCCATCTGCCTGCCTACTTTACACATTACATTTATATAATTTGGTTATCATTATAGTTTTTGTAAGATTATTTTGAAGTATAATTATTATTTTTATAGTGTAACTTGGTATGACAGTTCTGAAGAAAGAATCTGGACATAGCATATAATTAGCAAAAGTAGACAGTGTAAAACTTAAATACATGCATGTATATTTATTATTATAATTGTTTCCTTTAATTCCCAGAGGAACATAGGGATTCAGCTGCGCATCTCCATTGCCTTCGGTTCTCTGCTACAGTCTTCACCTGGCTCCAAGTCTCTCCACACGCCTTCAACCCCTCTTCACATGAACTCCAAGTCACTCACCCTCGCGCTGACGACCAACTCGCCGCTTCCAATACAGTCGGGTTCCAATCGAGCAATGGCTTGTCTAGTGATGTCACTTGATAGTTTATTTTCTCAGAGCATGGCCAATACACTTCCACTTCTTCCTGCATATTTGTTGCACAATCGGTTCCTGGTTGGTTGGTTCGCTCATTGACAGAGATCCCTCTCTGTTGCTGATCTTTTCTGACTGGCCATCTGATCTTGAGTGATGTTGAGCGGATACAACTGTCATTGAAGGTCTGTATTTTGTTTGAGATGCTCTTCATGACGCACAGTGCAAGTCTCTGATCCGTATAGTAAGTAGCACTGACTGGCTTCACACTGGAGTTGAAAATTCGGATGTTATTTTTGATGCTGATTGCTGTTAACCTCCACACTGACTTGAGAGTAGTGAAAGCTTGCCTTACTTTTCCGATGATCCTTGCTTTGATATCCTCGTCAGTTCCGTGCGCCTGTAGTTGAAATGATGCTTCCAGATAGGTAGTTAGATTAGGTTGTTTCTTTCAGGTTCCTCCCATTTATGCTGGCTGATTGTTGTCTGTTGTTGTTGTTGCTGTTGGTGGTGTTGTTGTTGTCTAGGAATCTTCATCACCTTTCTTTTGTCTTTTCTCACATGAAGTCTTATTTTCCTGGATGCTTCTTCTGCCAACTTGTTGCGTTTCACTTGCATATCTTCCAGTTTGTGGGAAATCAGACATATATCATGGGCGAAATGCAGATCTTCCAATTTTTGTATGAGTCCATTTTATGCCTGTTTCCTTGTTCCCCGCCGCTGTCTGTCGCATTATCAAATCTGCTGCAATCAGGAAGTAAATCATTGGAGATAGTAGGCAGCCAGCCAGCTTGTCCTACTCCTGTATATTTAACCAACAATTACTTAAGCTGTCAGAAGTCGGATATTATTTAAGAGTTTCTTGTGCATAAGTTTTAGGAACGCTTATCTGTAAGCTTGAAAAAAGGTATTCAAACTTTTATCGGAACTGGCGTCTACATAGTTTACTGTCAGTTTATCACTGAATAAATTATTGATGTCACGACTACCTCAAAGTAGGAATTAGTATTCGTCAGTAAATTAGTAATTCCGCTTCAGGAAACAAGATTTAGTCAAGACCACAACAACAACAATTAATTGTTGATGAAAAAAGAATCAAAGGACGGTTTAGCCGAGGAAAGGATCTGTGTCATCATTCCCGTCAACTTCGAGGTATTTTGCAACTTAAAAAACCCACACACCACCCTCTTCACTCACAACTCTCCCCTTGCATCTCATCAGGCAAAACCAGAAGCCTACATAGAAAACTATATGCTCACACCAGCAAGCACAATAACTCAACCACACCCAACTTAGCTCGTGTTCTGTGAGATAAAGAAAGCATTAGGCGTGACACCTATAATTCGTTAAATAGTTAGTAGTACAACTGGAACCTTCTCCTTCCAACTCATATCATTTATAGGTAAAGCCTTTCTTTCTTTTGCTTTTCTCTCTTTCTTTTCCTTTTTCCGTTATGTGCTGCTTTGTTTCTTTCTCCCACTTACGCCAGTAAATATGACAGCACCTTCTTTTCTAACACCTTCAAACACTGTTTCAGCTTTTCCTTTGCTACCGACATTCCAATGTGTTGTTGTCATAATGAACTGAGATTTCCTTAATCTATGTAGAATTCTATTTATTGATGATGCACTAACTGGATGCAATACTGTAGTGAAATGCTGAGAATTCCATTCTGTATCACAAGTACTGTTTTGGAATAAAGCAAATTATTGTTATTATTATTAAGAATTTATGTCTAATCATCTTATAAGAATGTTTATGAATAGCGTATAATAATAATAATTATGAATAATCTCCTTCTAGATGAATCGTGTACTACAATATTTCAATCTGTCAAGAAATCAAATCAGCAGTGATGGAGCTGAACAACTTGGTGATGCGATTAGCTCAAATGATACACTGTACGACATTAATCTTTCATGGAACTCGATCACTGGTTCGGGTGCATTGTGTCTTACAAGAGGATTGAAGGTAATTTATGGGGTGTGTACTATAATTTATGATTATTGTAACCTTAGTATTACATAACATTTGAGCTCACCGTAGCAGTGAAAGATATCAACGTGTTTGAAATAACAAAAATGCTTTCACTAGATGTCAACTCTCGATTCACAAGCATCCTCCTGACCGAAACAATATGCTTCATTTGTGACTACATCGAAACCAACAACCTAGAAGTTCCTCTTCACATCAACTACTTGAAGGAACTAATTCTCACATGTAGTTTTTGATGTGGTTGTGTTCTCTGAGCTGGATAGTTAATTTGCGAAGCTTTCATCAACCTACTACGCGACATCTTCAGCACATACTTCAATTTGAAGTGAGCTCGTAGATTTCTCCACGAGTTTATTAATCATCTCTCCGTGATTGACTGTTTTTGTGTGTTTTCACACCTTCTAGGCTACTTGTATCGGTATTGGTGTTGATTGTTTCCTTGACTTAAACTTTGACCCTTTGTATGTGAGCTTTCTTTCTTATCGGTTGATAAATTTTGTCTATCTCGATGTGTCTATTGATTGATGATTCACTGGAATGCCAAGCTTCTAAAAATTCTCTAGCATTCTTGCTGTTTCCTCTGTCTGATATTTGAACATTGTCCCAATCGAATTGATGACCGTGATTGTCTGTATGCAGTGAGGCGATATGAGTGAGTGGATGTCATGTCTTTTGACGGCTAGTTTATGTTCGTGGATACGAAGAAAAAGGGGACGTTCACTTTGGCCAATGCAGTGTTTTTCGAGGTTGTTACAATTTATCTTGGAGATGATGTCGGTTTTATCTTCTTTCGTTGTTGAGTCTTTTGGTTTACATAGAGCTGAGTGAAATGATTTTTTCGGTTTGTTTTAGACGTCAATTCCTAAAGGTTTGACGAGTCAAAGTGTAAGTCAAAGAATCAATCAGTTCCAATACAAGTAGCCTAGAAGGTGTGAAAACACACAAAAACAACCAATCACGTCCAAGGTCACCGGGAGAGATGATTAATAAACTTGTGGAGAAATCTAAAAGCTCACTTCAGTGAATTGAAGTATGCGCTGAAGATGTCACCTAGTAGGGTGATGAAAGCTTCTCAAATAAACTACTCAGCTCAGAGAACACAACCACATCAAAATCATCCACCTGAGCTACAAATCTTCTCCATCATATTTCACATGTAGGTTTAATATCCAATACAAATGCAATGAAAAATTCAATATATACAGAAAGATGGTATAGCTATGGGGTCTCCTCTTGGTCTACTTTTGGCTGACTGCTTCTTGGGAAGTCTCGAAAACAACATCCTCACTTATTTGATAAGTCAACTGTACTTACGCGGGAGATACGTAGATGATACGTTTGTAACTTGTGATGAAAAAGTTGATCTAGACTATCTCCTTAAAGCCTTCAACGCAGCACACCCATTAATCAAATTAACCTTAGAACGTAAATCAAACATGCTATTTCAATTCCCAAATGTAGTACTTACCAGAAGGCAGGACTGCACTATCCAAGGATCAATATATTGCATACCAACATGGACGGCACAGTTTATCAACTTCCAGAGCTTCGCCCTGCTGATCCGAAAGCAAAACCCATTGCGTAAGTTATGTTCAAGGATTAGAAATATCAGTTCAGAAGAGAGAGTGAATTAAATTCATTACATGAAACTGTACTAAAGAAGAGGCATCCACCAAGATTCATCGACAAAAACATGAAGGAAAAGCCTCCGTCGCCAAAAATCTCTTCATAAACCTGGTATCCACTGGTGACATTGAAGCCAAAATTCCTAGAGACGGCCTTTCTGAAGGATGTGAAGAAGACATTTCAAGCAGCCACTTTACGTATGACATTCTCTAGCAGAAAATTAATCCAGTCTAACGTTGAGGATAAGATACCACTCTTGTCCACTTCAGTGTGTACTATTCAGTTTGCTGAGCGCTTTGCAAATTTTTCTTCAGTACCTCCTCTTTTGCTTAGTCAGTTCCCATCGACCCGGTACACACAAAGTGTAATGGAAATCAAAGAGACCTACTGGTGATCGTTTCAGCCTTTTGGTGTGACCGCCGTCAGTGAATTCATCTTTACTCTGAGAAAGGTAGAATGATTTGCTATGCCTAAAGACGTATGAAAAGGTGAAGACAGACAGGTAGTACTGAAAATCAAAACAAGTGATCCATTCAGCGAAGAGACTCTTTGCAACGAATTTATCATCAAGCTGTACAATCGCATATATACGGTTTTGTTTTGAGAAGTTATATCCGGTGAGGTAATTGAAACATAGGTGTGAATGCATGAAATAATAATAACAGTAGTAGCATGAAATGCAATTAAAACTAAAATGTCTATGATTATAATCGTAGTTAAATGTCAAGTGGCAAAGCAAATTAATGTCATATATAGAATAATTCATAGGATGGATAGAACTTGAAAAACGGTGTGCAATTATAAGATTAGAGACAAATCGAATAAAATAAAGACGTTACATTATATTGTGTGAAATTTGGTAACATAGAATTTAACGTTGCAAAACAAAATTGATTTAGAATGACAAATGGAACGAGTGAAATAATACTGGGGACAATTCAAAGGAATAATAGTAATAGTAACAATTGATGTAAATAAAGGAAGAGTATACAAGCTGAATAAACAAAACGAAAAAAATTGGTAGAGCCAAAATATCGTTAGTGATTACTATACTTTAGCATAGAGGGATTAAGACGGTTAAAGTTAAAGGGGTTGAACAAACTTTTTCTGCATACAGAGATCTTGCTTTTGTGTTTCAATAACCAAGGCTTCAGCAACACAGATGAGTCGGGTTGGTCGTGATTTGGGAAATTTACTTTTTGCCTTGTAGATGACTTTAAAGGCGTAGTCTATAGAGATAGGGTGATCATTATCGACCACATATTCAAAGACCAAGCTTCTTATTGCTCCACTTCTACTTCTTTGTAACCATGCAGGAAAGTGTTGTTGCACCCTCTTGGACAAAACTCGAGTCGAACAACCGATAGTAGTACTGAAAACAAGTTTACGGTAGAAAAACATACTTTGCAGATGTTACGAAAACGACATATTTCGCCACTACAGGAGACTGTGTGCAGAGGTTTTGAGTTACTCACGGAAATCGTATGTCCTCTAACTTAGTTATTTGTGGTGATAATCACATTTTTAATCCCTTCATTCTTTTGTCGTTTGCAGTTGTTGCTGGAATCTTAGGAGAGCAGTGACCATGGTAACTCTTCTGTTGACTTATCTTTCAGGAGAACATTCGAATTAAGACCTGTGATCTATCATGGAATGGAATTTTGGGCAAGTCTGCACTGGAAATTGCTCAACTTATCAGAGAGAATACATCACTTAATGAATTATACCTTCAGTATAATAGAATAAGCGATGCAGAAATTGAGGCTATCGGTCAGGCACTGTGTGTAGCTAACGATTCAGCTGAAACGAAACTGACCACATTGAATATCAGCAGCAATCCAATTAGTACAAAAGGCGTGCTGAATTTCTTTAGACAGTTGAATAAAGCTCAATATATGAAAATGGAAAGAATAATGTTAGAGGTAGTGATTTGATTGTTTATTTTGTAAATTTTTATTTGACTACTTTAATTCATTATAAGTAGAATATTTTGTTTGTTAAAAATACTTAGAGGTCAAACTACTACGTGATTATTAGAGTTCACTATACCTATTCTATTTCTACCATCACACTAATACATTTGTCACAGAGTATTAGGTAAGCTAAACTATTTAGTGTTCATAAAAGCTGCATGTGATGAATGTAATCTTGAATTGGATAAATTTGTAAGTTCGGTGGCTTCCTTAAATCGCTGGGATACCAAAATTTCCAACCACCATTACGCTAAAACTCTTGTACACGTCTTATTGTTTTAAGCACACAGATATATCCATTTGATCGCTAATGTGAACTCGTGCACATTTTTAATTAGCTCCCAACAAAATGCCATGCATTGTAAGATAACATAGAAAAATCCTAGTAGATTTCTAAACACGGGAGTAAGACAAGCTGGCTAGCTGCCTACTATCGCCAATGATTTTCCTGAATGCGGTAGACGGGATTATGCGACAGACAGCGGCGGCCAGCGAGGAAACAAGCATAAAATGGAGCAACACAAGAAAATTGGAGAGTCTGGATTTCGCCGATGATATATGTCTGATTTCCCACAAACAGGAAGATACGCAAACGGGAAGCAACGAGTTGTCAAAAGAAGCATCCAGGGAAGATAAGAATTCAGGTGAATAAAGACAAAACAGAGGTGATGAAGATTCCTGGCTAACACCACCACCAACAACAGACAACAATCAGCTTAAATTGAAGGAACCTGAAAGTAACAACCTACTTCACAAACCCACATGGGAGGCATCGTTTCAACTACAGGCACACGGAACTGATGACGATATCAAATCAAGGATCGGGAAAGCAAGACAAGCTTTCATTACTCTCAAGTCTGTGAGGAGGAGATCAACAGCACTCAACATGAAAAATAAGATCCGGGTTTTAAACTCCGATATGAAGTCAGTCAGTGCTACTCACTATACGGATCAGAGACTTGCACTGCGCGTCATAAACAGCATCTCAAACAAACTACAGACCTTCATTAACAGTTGTCTTCGCTCAATATCACTCAAGATCAGATGTCTGGCCAGAGAAGATCAGCAATAGGGACCTGTGCAAACAAACCAACCCAGCAGGAACCGACTGTGCAACAAATAGGCAGGAAGAAATGGAGGTGGATTGACTGGCCATACACTGAGGAAACAAACCATGAAGTGACATCACTAGACAAGCCATTGCTCAAGTGGAACCTGAAAGGGTAGCGGCGAGTTGGTCGTCAGTGCGAGGGTGGGTGACTTGGAGGAGGTGATGTGAAGAGGAGATGAAAGCATATGGGCAAACTTGGAGCCAGGTGAAAACGTTGGCAGAGAACTGAACGCAATGGAGAGGTGCGCGGTTGAAGTTCTATGTTTCTCTAGGAACTAAAGGTGACAATAATAATAATATTAAATACCCTTTAGTGGGACCTGCCAGATGTGAGTGCTGGGCAAGCAACTGGGTGACAAGGGAGTTCGTACAGATGAGGCAGAATGCAGGAGAATCTACGTAACTCTTTTGAAAGTCAGGAGCTATGTGGTATTCAAAACAGGAAACTAACTCATTATCGAAACAGCCATAATGATAACACTTATACTTTGGGTTATATTAATCATTGGAGAATGGTTGTTCATTCTAGTTTGGTTACGGAAGGATCTTTGTAGAAGCAGAGAATAACTCAGACAAAGAAGAGAAGGCAAACAGAAACTTAAAATGAAAGTATAATTAAAACAATGAACAATAACAAGTGGTAATCCATTTTATGGTTAGTTACTTTTAGTTTGTCTTACTGGACTAAAGCGATATATCTACTTTTGTTTGCTTGTCAGCTTCATGGATGTACGATGCTGAATCTAACTAATTTCATTGAGAGTTTTCTCTTTTTTTGAGTGCTAATCGGCCTTCGAGTTCACAATGTACTATACATAAGTCTACCTGAATACTGGTGAAGGAATCTGCTCCCACTGGGAGTGAAATCTAAGTCATTATTCTTCAAAACTTCACAGCATTATTCACTAGACTACTGATCTCTTATATACTAGCGGGAAGAAAGCAACTTATTATTCATATAAGTGTCCTATTATTCTTCAGCCTAATTTTTATCATTGGCTAGTGTGTGGTTTAGTGCGTCGGTGGCATAGCGATTAGGACGCTCGCCGACCATGCACATGGTCCGGGGTTCGATCCCGGGCCACAGACGCACTCCTTTACCTTACTAAGCTAGCTAAAATGCTGGTTAAGAGGAAAGCTTGGGCATGAGGTTAGCAACCCCATCCTGTAAAAATAAACACTGCTACCGAAACTTCAAGGCACTGGCTTGAAGCCCTATGTTCCACTGGGAACGTGAAGGAATAATAAAAAAACAAAAAATAAATTAAGTGTGTGGTGTACGTTAGATTTGTCGTCAACCATACTAGACAGAATAGTACTCACTTACAACTGATACGCTGTGTGGAAAGTTTTGATTTTTGCAAGTATATGTAAGGACATTTGATAAAGAACAAAACTCTATATATAAGCGACTGATTGACATTTGTTGCGAAGTAGATAATTCACTCTGACTCTTCACTTTTATGGACAGTGTTTAACGTCTCAAACATTCAGTAGTGCATCATAATCTTCCTAGGAGGTCGTGGATTCCACGCAAGCACAAACAAAATTCGGTTCGATTTGTAGGATAAATATGTGTGTAAAACTTAAGCACTGTATTATTGTTATTATTGTTGTTCCCTTGGGTTCCCAGTGGAACATAGGGTTTCAACTACACGTCTACACTTGCTTCTGTCTTCTGCTGTATTTTTCACTTGCATCCATGTTAATCCATACTGTTTCAGCACCTCTTCACACGATCGCCTCCATGTCACATTTCCGCTGACGTCCCACTCGAGCGATGGCCTGACGTGCGATGTCACCCAGTGAGTGGCCTCCTCAGCCAGTGAGTGTCCAATCCATCTCCACTTTCTCCTGCATATTTACTTGTTGGGCGATTGCTTCTTGTTTCGCTTGTTTCTTCCCATAGTTTGTTTCTTGTTGGTTCTTGTTCTTTCCGGCCATCCGATCTTCAGTATAGAGCCAGCGAAGACAGTTAGTTAGTTGCTGATAAAGGTCTGCAACAGGCTGTTGGAAATACTCATTCTTTGTGACCCGCCGCCAACTCTCTGATCCATCCGCATAAAACAACTGACTGACTTGACTGACGTTTGTATTGAAAATCCGAATTTTGTTGTTGATGCTGGCTGGGTTGAGTGACAGCGGAAGATTTCCAGATTGGTTTCACGTGTGTGAATGTGTTTCTCGCCTTTCCGATTGTCGATTTGACATTCTCGTCCGTTCCACCTGCCTGTAGTTGCCTAGATAAGTGAATGAAGTCACCTCTTTCAAATCCCTTGCGTTGATCGTGATTGACGCTGGATGTTGCTGCTGTTGTTGTTGTTGGTTGGTTGGTTATTTTCATAACCTCCGTCCTGTCTATGTCCACCTGGAGTCCTGTCTTTTCCAGCTGCTTCTTCGACCAGTTTGTCGGTTTTCGCTCGTAAGTGTTCGATTTTGTGTGACATCAAACATAAATCATCTAAGCGCGAAATCCAGGTCTTCTTGGTTCTTCACGTCAGTTCAGGAAGGATGAAAGGTTGCAGATACGCCTTGCTGACGAGTGTCAACTAGCAAGAAACCTAGGTCCAAAGCTTCCTGCCGATTGCCTCCAACCATCTAATATCATCACACCACCAATATTGGGAATATAAACATTGACGTCAATTACTGTCTACCATTTTTGGCTAGCAGCCATCTCTCACCACAATACCACTGAAGAACTAAAGTTTCTTCAAAGAGGAGCATTGATAACCACATGATGGGTGAAGCCGAAACTGTTGGTTTACTGGGCAAGTGCATACAATTCAACTATTGGTTACTTATTCCTCAGCCTGGTGTATTCCATCTGTCAATGATTCCTCCGACTAATGCGACAAAGTCAATCTTTTCACTTTCAGTTCATTTTCTTGAAATGTTATATTATGCGCTGCATCAATGAGTATTATGCAGTTTGATCATTACTTTACATTTGTGTATATTCTCTCTACTTCTTTCTTACTTTTAGGATATTCCTGTCAATCTTGAATGCATAAACTTGATAGATTCAATTAAAGAGAAATTTCCAGACTTGCGCATAACTCATGGACCACAATTAATCGTGGGTAATACGCAGGATGATATTCAGTCAAAAGGTGGTACATTTGTCGATCTACTGTTTCTACTTAAATGTCATATAAATTATAATGGAAAGATATTCACAGATATACTACAAGAGTTGGATACTGACAAAAGAGGAGCAGTTAGTGTTACACAATTTCTGGAAGCTTTAAAAGTAAGCTAAAGAAATGGGGTTCTCTTTCTATAAGCTTAGAAAAATGCTTGGATGTTTCAGTGAAATCTTGATGAACAACACAGATTTCAACATTTTTTTTAATAAAAAATGCAACTTTAAATTTGGATCTCATCATTTGGAGAATCATTGAGAATCGTGGAAAGTTACACAAAATCGGTTCAGAAATTTTCAGCAGTAAATAGTCTTTGGCATTACCATGGATCAATGTCAGGAACATAAATTTACCAGACACTCATCAGCCATCTGTCTTGTATCGTGCGTGACTTTATGGTCTTGAAAAAAGCTAAATGAGCAAGAAACAGATGTGAAGTTATCTGTGTGATTTTAAATGGTTTTTCAAGTGATGGCAGTCCATAATGCATCCATTGCAGAAATTAATTGCATCCCTGCCAATCAAGCGTCAAAATAAAGATTTGTTTGTAGCATTAATATATGTGTAAAACTTGGGCACTGTGGTAGTAAGTAATTCCATATTAGTTTGTTTATTAGATATATCACATTGTGAAACAGTATTATTTACTGGATGACATTTCGAACAAAATTTATTGTTCATAATCATTCCATCAATTATAATCACACGACTTCGAAACTTGAGTTTCATAGTTTTCTTTGTCCTCTCCCATTTGTCGTCGTTGGGGTAGTAGAATTTTCCAGATATCTGGGTGGACAGGTGTTGAATCATTCCTATTACATGTATTTGCAGTTGATTCAATAAACAAAGCTTCTGTTGACATCAGTCTCTCCCTCCACCCTGTGACATTAGATTTTAAAACTGTCATCTTGTCCTATGCATCCTATTGTATGGTTGTGTGTAATTGCATGTAGTGCTATAGCTGAACTATTCTCTAGATTTCTTAAATTACTCGGGTCAACCAATCTAGATTTTGCTAAGTTTTTATGTTCGGCTATCCTGACTGCAATGTTCTACTAGTTTGACCTATATATTTGACCTGACAATCATTGCAGGCAGGGTATTAGATAAACTAAATTGTTTTGTTTAATTGGTTCTACAGGATTGATCTTTTAACCGACAAAGCTTGTTTCTAATTGAGTTTATGGGTGGTTTGAATGACGCCTTTATTCCTGCCTTGTTAAGAATTCTTCGCCTTAAGGTTTCCGTCAAAACAAAACAATTTGGTTTATCTAATACCCTGCCTGCAACGATTGTCAGGTAAAATACATAGGTCAAACTAGTAGAACATTGCAGTCAGGATAGCCGAGCATAAAAACTTAGCAAAATCTAGATTAGTTGAGCCGAATAATATAAGAAATCTAGAGAATAGTTCAGCTATAGCACTACATGCAGTTACACACAACCATACAATAAGCTGGATGGGATAGGATGACAGACATTTTTAAAATCTAATGTCACAGGGTGGAAGGAGAGATTGATAACAGAAGCTTTGTTTATCGAATCAACTGCAAATAAATGTAATGGGAATGATTCATCACCTGTCCCAGATATCTGGAAAATTCTACTACCCCTACGACGACAAATAGGAGAGAACAAAGAAAACTATAAAACTCAAGTTTCGAAGTCGTGTAATCATTACAATTGATGAAATGATTATGAACAATAAATTTTGTTCGAAATGTCATCCAGTAAATAATACTGTTTCATCACTGTGTGATAAATCTAATAAACAAACTAATATGGAATCACTTACTACCACAGTGCCCAAGTTTTACACATATATTAAAGATTTCTTTGTAGCATCTTTTATAAATTCCTAAGTTTGACTGAGTTTCCGGAATAGCAAACGTGACACAGAGAGAGTCAGTGGTTCAATGCTAGAATACTCGCTATCTGCTTGGGCGGGGTGTGGTTTCTATTCTCACCTGAAGAACTACTGAATCTCTCCTAGGTAGGTAGTAATCCACAGGTTTATGCAAACAGAAAACTTAGCGAAGACAAGACTGCCTATTACTGCCATTGATATTCCTAATTTTGTTGGACTGGATTATGCGTCAGACTTCACTTGGGTGTATGAAGAGTGGGAATACGCCATACTAGTCGAAAAGAAGATCTAGAAGATCTAGATTTCCACCGTTGATTTATATCTAATGTCTTAATCAGGAGAACCAACACAAGAGATTTAGCAACACAAGTATATAGAAAATCAACGCACACAGATCAAATACTCAACTATACTAGCTATAACCCAATTAATCACAAACAATACTGTGTGCAGACATTATTTAAAAGAGCTCAAATACATTGTAGGACTCCAGAGTTGAAAAGAATGGAAGAAAAGTACCCACAAATGGTCTTCAACAAGAATGATTATCCACAAAATTTCATCAAAAAGTGTTTAAAGTCAAATAAAAACACCAACAAAAAAACCATCATCAAAGACCACAAGAAAATTCATTCTACCATACATGAGAAATATCTCTGAAATAACAGCTAGAATACTGAAACCGTTTGATGTAGATATAGCATACAAGCCAGTCAAATCGCTTAATTCGATATTATGCAAACCAAAAGATCCAACAGAAAAAGGCGATAAAATTAATACCATTTACAAAATAAATAGTATGGACTGCAACAGGCATTACATCGGCCAAAGTGGGCGTCCCCTTCGAATCAGAATCCAAGAACACAAATCAGCCGTGAAAAGACACGATATGTATTTTTTTTTTTTTTTTTTTTGATTTACAGCTTGATTTCCACACCGTATTTTCAGTACAAGTGTGGAACTTTCAGCATGGATATCGGTTGCCCAAATTCAGGCATACCATAGATATCGGGTGTGCGCCGGCAGGGGTTCGAACCCCGGACCATGTGCATGGTCGGCGAGAGTCCTAACCACTGTGCCACCACTGTGCCATCAATGCATATAGACAATTATGGACATCAATTTGATTGGGATAATATCGAAATCTAAGATGGAGGAAACACCGAAAGTGCAGTCAGGGAATTCCTAGAAGCCTGGTACTCAAACGAAAATGCAATTAACAAACACGTTGATATAGACGAAATATACCAACTAATAAAAATTAAATCAGGTGACGAGAAAGTTTAAAATTCACGTCAATAGAAAGTGGTCAATACATATGTAAAGATAGTAACCAAGAGACGCAATTACATCACGCATGAAGAAATTTAAATCAATTCACTTTGTGCTAAATATGGCGCTGAAGATATTGTCCAGAAGGACGACGAAAGCTCCATAACTAAACCAACCAGCTCAGAGTACACTAATAATTGCAAGTGACTTCTTTGTCATGTGACATATTCTTTATTAACTGATAGATTTGATCCGTGGTAGTATATCTGTTGATTTCAGATTCGTCCGAGTACCATATCCGCTATTTTTATTATCATTATAAATATTTGCGCTTAACCTCTGAATAATAATAATAACGGTTAGGACGCTCGCCGACCATGCACATGGTCCGGGGTTCGATCCACGGCCGACTCACTCCTTTACCTCGCTAAGCCAGAAATAATGCTGGTAAAGAGGAAAGATTGGGCATGAGACAAGCAACCCCATCCTCTAAAATAAACACTGCTACGGAAACTTCAAGCCACTAGCTTGAAGCCGTATGTTCCACTGGGGAACGTGAAGGAAAATAAAAAAATGTTGACAAAAGTTAGAATTCATGGGTCACTGAATTGCGACTTAAGTGGCTGAATGGTCAAAGATTTAAGTCTCGTAAACTCCTCATAGTCTCGGGTTTGACCCCTAGTAGGGTTGTGAGTGTGCGCTTTGCAGAGTCCCAGAATAGGACGAAACAGCTGCTGTGTGCTGCTCCCTGGTTTTCAATGATCTTCCTAAGTGATGTTGGTTGTTCATGATAAAATCTAACAAGTGAAATTAAATTAATGCTGTAAATCTTGATTTGAATAAATAGACCCTAAAATATAATAATAAGTAACACTGTTTCGTAATGAATCTCCTGAGAAAAATAGTTCTACTGTACTTTGATTGGACACTAGTCAGTAACTAGTGTGGCTTGTCTAGTCCTTTCTTTGGTGCAGACTAGATTCTATCAGTCAGAGATTTGCAATGTGGCCGCCATTCTAGGTAGCTAGCTCCCCCGATTACAGTGCACATTGATTTGATGATATTCAATGGTTGGATGCAGTCGGCAGGATCCCTTGCTCGACCTAGGTTTCGTGCTAGTTTGCACTCGTCAGCAAGGCGTGGATCTACAACCTGGAAGGAACTCATGTCCCTTATGAGATTCTACTCTCTATAAAATAACTTGAATTAATATTTCCTAATTAGTTACATGCACCTGTTTATTTATTTTTTTTTGTCATTTAAGATAATAGGCGTAAATTACAAACGTTCACAAATCAACGAATTACAGCAACGTTTGAATCGATTCGCAGATGGGACAATATATTACAAGTATTGATTTTATATATTTAATCTATTTAGAATTTAATACAGTGGTTACATTTGCATTGAATCTCAAAGGAAAATGGGTAAAAATATGTGGGTGAACAGATAGATAATTAGGTATGGGAGAAATCTGAAGAATTTTGATGTGGTTGTGTTCTCTGAGCTGGATAGTTAATTTGCGAGGCTTTCATCACCCTACTAGGTGACATCTTCAGCGCATACTTCAATTCATTGATGTGAGCTTTTAGATTTCTCCACGAGTTTATTAATCATCTCTCCTGGTGACCTTGGATATGAGTGGTTGTTTTTGTGCGTTTTCACACCTTCTAGGCTACTTGTTTTGGAACTGATTGTTTCTTTGACTAAGATAAAGAGGAAAAAGATAAAACCAACATCATCTACAAAATAAATTGTAACAACTGCGAAAAACACCACATTGGCCAAAGTGGACGTCCCCTTCGTCTTCATATCCACGAACATAAACTAGCCGTCAAAAGACATGATATCCACTCACTCATATCACTACATACAGACAACCGCGGACATCAGTTCGACTGGGACAACCAACGTTCAAATATCAGACAGAAAACACCAAGAATGCTAGAGAATTTTTAGAATTAGGCCTGGTATTCCAGTGATTGGTCAGTCAATAGACACATCGAGATTGACAAAATTTACCAATCGATAAGAAGGAAACTTCATACACAAAGGGTCAAAGTTCAAGTCAAAGAAACAATCAGTTCCAATACAAGTAGCCTGGAGGGTGTGAAAACACGCAAAAGCGACCAATCACGCCGTTGAAGGTCACCCACCAGGAGAGATGACTAATAAACTCGTGGAGAAATCTAAAAGCTCACTTCAATGAATTGAAGTATGCGCTGAAGATGTCATCTAGTAGGGTGATGAAAGCTTCGCAAATTAACTATCCCGCCCAGAGAGCACAATCACATCAAAATCTGAAGAAATTTGTCTATTCCATTTATGTTACACCGTGGCCTTGTTTCAACGACAGTTGGTGTGCCACAGATGCAGATTTCAAAGCCAGATAGGTTTGGATTAGGAAAACAAAACAGACTTTTAATTACCTTGAAATCTCTGGGGAGATCTACGACGGTTAGCATGGAGAAAGACATTAGAATTTTCCAAAATAATGTTAGTGCTTCTGTATGGATCAGGAAATTGAAGATCTTGTCACCTTAGGTATTTCTAAATAGTCTATTACAGGCTGTCATCAACACCTACTACTCCCCTGGCTGGATACTGAAGGTGTCAGATGATTGAAGAGAAAGGATGAGCGCATCGAAGAACACTGGCAGAGAGAGCGAACCAAATAAAAATGTATTGACTAACAAACATGTAAAGGAATTGAAAATGGACTGGAGACCGTTGAGTGAAACTGATCACCGGATCCTCAATTGGAACTTAAATAGAAAGCGGCTAATTTGACTTTCGAAGGTGATATGAAAAGAGGATCATGTGAGGATAAAACGAAAGCTGAAGCCTTATGTTCCACCCAGAACACATATGGTGAATAATAACGGAAAGATAATTAGATACTATGTACCTGAATCATGTTGTCATGTGAAACAAACAGTGAGATATATCCAGTTAACCCCGTTCAGAATGTGTTGCATTTCTTTCAAAAATTGCTTGAAAATCATTTCTCTGATGTTAAATCGAGCGATATCTTACAATTGTCATTATTGTAACGTTATTATTGTTCCCTTGGGTTCCTAGTGGAACACAGGGCTTCAACTACACGTATACACTTGCTTCTGTCTTCCGCTGTACTTTTCACCTGCATACATGTTAGTCCATACTGTTTCGATTCCTCTTCACACGATCTCATCCATGTCACCCTTGCAATGACGTCCCACTCACCGCTTCCCTTCCGCGCTCCACTCGACACTGGCCTGATGTGCGATGTCACCCAGCGAGTGGCCTCCTCAGCGAGTGAGTGTCCAATCCATCTCCACTTTCTCCTGCATATTTGTTGGGCGATTGCTTCTTGTTTTGTTTGTTTCTTCCCATTGTTTGTTTCTTGTTGGTTCTTGTTCTTTCCGGCTGGCCATCTGATCTTCAGTATAGATAGAGCCAGCGAAGACAGTTAGTTGTTGATAAAGGTCTGCAACAGGCTGTTGGAAATACTCATTCATTGTGACCCGCCGCCAACTTTCTGATCCATCCGTATAGAAGAACTGACTGACTTGACTGACGTTTGTATTGCAAAGCCGAATTTTGTTGTTGATTCTGGCTGAGCTGAGTGACAGTGGAAGGTTTCCAGATTGGTTTGAGGTTGATGAATGTGTTTCTCGCCTTTCCGATTCTCGATTTGACATCCTCGCCCGTTCCGCCTGCCTGTAGTTAAGACAATGCTCCCTAGATAAGTGAATGAAGTAACCTCTTTCAAATCCCTCTCGTTGATGGTGATTGGCGCTGGATGTTGCTGCTGTTGTAGTTGTTGTTGTTGGTTGGTTATTTTCATAAACTTACAATCGTCATGCAAATATAAATTCAGAATGCAATTACAATGTTTCAATGGGTTGTTTTTTCTATTTTAAATGAACGGTATTTACACAGTATACATGAATTTATTGATGATATTTGTAATCTAATCTGTATATGAGTTGATAATCGTTGCTGACAAACATATCAGCAAAGATTATGAACAGCTAAACGGTGTGATGTCAAACAAGGGTGGAAAGCATTGTTGAGTTAATGACTGAAAACCTAGCAGTCAGCTAACTAAGGTTTCAACATTTTATGAAGTAATTTCTAACGGTTAGCGAATATTATCTACAGAGAATAACTCGGGCGGTAATAAATATAATAAGACACATTGCTTCTGTGGCGTATTTATTACCACCTTAGATGCAACAAAATATTCTATGTTATTTAAAGTGAAAAATAAACTTGGAGGATCTAGACTTCGCCGGTGATATATGTCTGACTTCCCACAAACAAATGAAAAGCAACAAGTTGGCAGAAGAAGCATCCAGGAAAGATAAGACTTCAGGTGAACACAGAGAAAACAGAGGTGATGAAGATTCATAGACAACACCAACACCAACATCAACAACAGCAACAAAAACAACAACAGACAACAATCAGCATAAATGGTAGAAGCAACCTCCTTCACCAGCCAACCTGGGAAGCATCGTTTCAACCACAGCCACACGGAACTGATGAGGATATCAAAGCAAGAATTGGAAAAGCAAGACAAATAGGCAGGAAGAAATGGAGGTGGATTGGCTGGCCATACTCTGAGAAAACAAACCATCAAGTGACATCACACGACAGGCCATTGCTCGAGTGGAACCCGAAAGGGAAGCGGCGAGTTGGTCGTGAGTGCGAGGGTGTGTGACTTGGAGGAAGTGATGTGAAGAGGAGATGAAAGCATGTGGGCAGACTTGGATCCATGTGAAGACCGTAGCAGAGAAGCGAACGCAATGGAGACGCGTGGCTGAAGCCGTATGTTCCTCTAGGAATTAAAAGAAACAATATTAATAATATTTAAATTGACCATATATAGATGAAATTCAGATTAGTGAGTGATATTTCCATCGAGAACAAAATCTGCTTAACCTAAACTTCGTGTTTGTCAGTACTCATCATCAGGTAGCACTTTCATTTCGGAAAAATGATGATGGAATGCATACTGGAACCTGCTACTCTTAGCATAAAGCGCTAGAGTTAAATGTTCATTAAATGTTTCTTTAATTCTTTCACTATATATATTACTAATAAAACGGAAGTCTTAGTTGATAAGTTCGCAAGGAAGAGATATGATTGTAGAACGTCACCTGCTTTGACTTCAATGAGTAACAGTTAATAGAAAGCAGGCCGATTGCTTCTTCTAGTTTAGTTGCTATTCTTAACATATGATCGATAAAATTCAAAATACTGTCTTGGACCATGAAGACAAATTTATTAACACCCTGCGTTATTTCAGCGTTAACCGGTGAACAGCGTACACACAACAATATATATGTGTAGTTTAATGCCTTTCAGACGATTTACTCTTAGCTGCAACTAAAATGCACTTTCCAACGGTGAGACAGACAGTAAACTATGAGTACTGGGTTAGAGCCCTAATGGGAACACTAACACTCACTGAGGGATCCAGGTACATCCATCTGACGATTCCCCAATGGGACGAAATGTGCGTTTGCAATGGTTTCCAACTATTCGACCTTTGAAAAGTTTATTTCTTTACCTGAAGGAAAGAAGTTTGAGACTCAATATCAAACTCATACTGACTATACTGAATGTTTCAACCTGTTACAGATTACCAAGCTGTTTATTTTGTGATCCCCGCCACTGATTAGTTGTTAAGCATGAGTTGTAGAATTCTTACTAACTGTTTGGGTATAATTCATATTTTATTTTATTTCTGGATAAAAAATTCCACATTCACTGTTTACTGTTAAGAAAACAGTCACTTCACAAATTATTTACCTTGTTTTGTTGAGCTACTCATAAGTAGATAGTTTGTTTCTGTCTAAAAATGTTTTAAAAACACGAAACCTTTCACTTCATATTTTCGTACATATTTCAGAGATTACATAAAGAAACAAGAGGATTCTCCTGAAGTTATGAGTTATGAATCCAGTTTTTACAGTAGTAAAAGTAGTAATTACTAATTATTATATATGTATATTGTATGTGTATCAATGGCACCCATTCTTTCATTCCGAAAGGCAGCAAACCTTCAAATAATTTTACACTTTCTTCCGCTTGCTTCACGCTAATGCAGTGCTTACAAAAATGTTGCAAAAAAGTGTCACACATGCACGAAGTATAGATGGACACCAATTACAGCTGACATAACTTGGGAGAGTATTGAACCAATTGTGCAATTTTGCCTTTAAAAAAGTTACTTTAATCCTGGCAACAGTTTCAGTTTAATTCTGTAATACAATGAAACGCTTAAAGCAAAGAATTCGCCTTTTTTGTAAATACTTTATTGAAAATGTCAAATTATCTTCATTTCTGTTTTATTGATGTAAGTTAAAGGTGAATTCGCAACGAGATCCTGAAGGCAGCATAAAGAGAGGAGGGTTAAGGTGTACGATAAATTCCAGCTACCAAAGCTTTTTCATCACAGAGAATATTTATATGAACTAGAAACAAAAATAAATAGAAATATTAAGTCACCAATAAATAGCATGCCAAACAGTCTACTATGTTAACTCATCCAGTAGTGACTAAGATCTTTCTGTTTAGGTTAAAATGGCTAAACTAAACTCAATGACGACACCAACAATAAGGACTCTAAATCATCAGTAGTAGCAGGATACCCTATTAGGCCTATAGTTGATTTTAGAAATTAACCTACTTATGAATTATCTAAATATTTAGCCATGGTATTAAATCCCCTAAAAATCCACTCGAAATCTAGACTAACTAATTCTTATGAACTAAAACACAGATTAGATAATTTAAAATTAGATAATGAAGAAAAAATGGTTAGTTTTGACATTTTCAGTTTATACACACGTATACCAATAAATATGGCTATGGAGGCAGTCAGAAACGAACTCATTTCTGACCAAGAACTCGAACTTAGGACAAAAGTGCCACTTGAGGACATAATGCTGGGAGTACAGCTATGCCTGACTTCCACAGTATTTAAATTCCGAGGGAAAATATCCAAACGAACTCAGGGAGTTGCCATGGGATCACCAATATCCCCAGTTGTAGCAGATATATTCATGGATAAGTGGGAAAACATAGAGATTGAAATGTTCACCCCCACCCCAAAAGTATGGTGGAGTTATGTAGATGACACATTCACTGTAATAAGAACACAAGATATAGATATGTTTTTCGTACACATCAACTCGAAGGTTGAAGCAATTCAATTCACTTATGAATTGTAAATCCAGGAATGGGAGCTCCCAATGTTAGATTGCAACGGAAAGAGGAAAGAAGATGGGAAGTTGAACACTAGTGTTTACAGGAAACCCACACATTCAAACAGATATTTGGACTTCCGATCATCCCATCCTATGTCAGTAAAAATAGGATTAGCGAAAAGCTTAAATGACAGAGCACAAAAACTAAGTAGTAGGAAGGAAAATCTAAAACAGGAACTGATACACATAAAAGAAGCCTTGAAACTTAATAACTGCCCTGATAAATTAATCAGAAAATATGTAAAGAAATGTAAAAATAAAATAAATAATGATGATAGCGATAGTGACAATAATAATAATGATATTAATAATGATAATAATAATAGTATTAATGACGACACCGACAATAAGGAATCTAAATCATCAGTAGTAATTCCATACAAGGAAGGAACCTCCGAAACCACTTTACGCAGAATTCTTAACAAGGCAGGAATAAAAGTGGCTGGCATTCAAACCCATCACAAACTCAATTAGAAACAAGCTTTGTCGGTCAAAGGATCGATCCTGTGGAGCCGGTTAAACAAAACAATTTAGTTTATCTAATACTCTGCCTGCAATGATTGTCAGGTCAAATACATAGGTCAAACTAGTAGAACAGGGGCAGCCAGACTAGCCGAGTATTTAAACCTAGCGAAATCTAGATTAGTTAACATGAATAATACAAGAAATCTAGAGAATAGTTCAGCTATTCCACTCACTACATGCAGTTACACACAACCATACAATATCATCGATGGGATAAGATGACAGTTTTAAAATCTAATATCACAGGGTGAAGGGAGAGATTGATAACAGAAGCTCTGTCTATCGAATCAACTGAAGAGAGTATGTGTAATAACAATGATTCAACACCTGTCCACCCGGATATTTGGAAAATCCTACTACCCCAGTGACGACAAATATGAGAGAACAAAGAAAACTATAAAACTCAAGTTTCAAAGTCATGTGATTACAATCGATAAGATTATAAACAATAAGTTTTGTTCGAAATGTCATCCAGTAAATAATACTGTTGCACTGACTGTGTGATACATCTAATAAACAAACTAATATGGAATTACTGACTACCACAGTGCCCAAGTTTTACGCATATATTAATAAACTAAACTGGTTTCAAATATTTCTTCATTTATACGTATAAACCTTCAGAATTTGAAGGAAATGAGAATGTAGTAAGTTTACGTAACAAAGAGAAGAAATAAATACGGTGAGACGTTGAAACCCAAATCAACTAACTATCCAAATAAACCTGCTAAGCAAAGTAAAAAACACCCTAGATGTATGATTGACTGAGAATTTTGACTGATATAGTAAGGCAGTTGAGTGTACAAGTGATTTCTGATTGATGGGAGTAAATACAAAGGAAACACCAGTAAAGTGACTAATAACACCATGATCAATAAATGGAGGGAATGAAAATTTAATAAATGGATTTTGATGCTTGTATGTTCACCTGAAGTCCTATCTTTGAAGAAGCATCAAAGATAGGACATCACTTCAGGTGAACAAAGAGAAAACAGAGGTGATGAAGATTCCTGAACAACACCACCAACAGCAACAACAACAACAGACAACAATCAGCCAGCATAAATGGGAGAAACCTGAAAGAAACAACCCCCTTCACCAACCGACCTACCTGGGAAGCATCGTTTCAACTACAGGCGCACGGAACTGATCAGGATATCAAAGCAACGATCGGGAAAGCAAGACAAGCTTTCATTACTCTCAAGTCTCAAGCATTCAGCATGAAAAATGAGGTCTGGATTTTCAACTCCAATGTGAAGTGAGTCAGTGCTACTCACTATACAGATCAGAGACTTGCACTGCGCGTCATGAAAAGCACACCAAACAAACTACAGACCTTCATTAACAGCTAGTTGTCTTCGCTCAATACCACTCAAGATCAGATGGCCGGTCAGAAGAGATCAGCAAAACGGACCTGTGGGAGGAAACAAACTCAGCAGGAACCGATTTTGAAAGAAATAGGCAGGAAGAAATGCAGGTGGATTGGCTGGCCATACTCTGTGGAAACAAACCATCAAGTGACATCACAAGGCAAGCCATCGCTCGAGTGGAACCTGAAAGGGAAGCGGCAATTTTGTCTTCAGCGCAACGGTGGCTGAATTGGAGGAGGTCATGTGAAGAGGAGATGAAAGCGTGTGGGCAGACTTGGAGCCAGGTGAAAACGTTGGCAGAGAAGCGAACGCAATGGAGACGCGTGGCTGAATCCCTATGTTCCTGTATGAATTAAAGGAAACAATAATAATAATATAATAATACTTGATGTTTCAACGATAGTTAGCTGAATTTCAGTTTTCATGAATCAACAACCTTTCTAGCAGCTAAGTCCATAGAAACCAAGATGTTGAGACTACAGTATGTATTTTTAGTAGGAGAACAATTTAATTTAGTATCCACTTTCACTTATAAATAATTATGAACAAATTTTTTGACATAGTCTTTATTAAATTGTTCCACTCCCTGATAATTTATGCATGACCCCTGGGAATACTAAAAGATAAGGAACAAATTGTATCTAAAGAAAGAGGGACACTTTTAGAAATTACAGAATGCATAAAATTAATTACGTTAATCTAAGTTTTCTTTTTATAAAAAAGAAAATGTGGCTACTCTAAGTCTACTATATTATTTCTTCGTTGCTGTCATCTATAGCAATGGCAGTTATGCAAATGTTTAGTTGACTTAAGATTAATAAATATATAGAAACGGAAAGTCAGGTAAGAGGATGGTTACTTGTCAGTGACGTTGACCGGAGGTTACGCTACATATCCCGAGTTGACAGACGTTGGAATTCATGGACGGATGTGTCGGGTCGGGTCCTAGTGGCTGAATGGTCCCGAGATCGGATTGTAACCTGAAGGTCCTGGGTTGAAACTCTTCTCGGTGCACACTGAGATGAAGAGTTCCAGTACTCCCTGCAGGTTTCCCAATGGTTCTCTAACTGATGTCAGCTCATGATTAAACCTGTAACCAACCAAATCCCTGCAAACTAGGCACTTGAGAATAAATATATTTCCCAGAATGAAATGATTAGGGCATCGCTGATCCAATAGGCCAGTGCCCGTCAGGAACACAGGTGGTGCGGGTTCAACCTCCTGTTGACTCAATCTTATTATTATTGTTTCCTTTAACTTCAAGAGGAACATAGGGCTTCAGCTCCAAGTCTCCATTGCGTTCGGTTCTCTGCTAGAGTCTTCACCTGGCTCCGAGTCTGACCACACACTTTCATCTCCCCTTCACATCACCTCCTCCAAGTCACAATTGCACTCCAGCAATGGCCTGTCTAGGGATGTCACTTGATGGTTGGTTTCCTCAGACTATGGCCAATCCATCTCCATTTCACCCTGCATATTTCTTTCACAATCGGTTCCTGCTGAGTTGGATTGCCCCCACAGGTCCGTATTACTGATCTTTTCTGGCTGGCCATCTGATCTTGAGTGGTATTGGCCGAAGACAGCTGTTAATAAAGGTCTGTAGTTCGTTTGAGGTGCTCTTTATGAGGTGCAGTGCAAGTCTCTGATCTGTATAGTGAGTAGCACTGACTCACTTCACACTGGAGTTGAAAATCCGGACCTTATTTTTGATGCTGAGCGCTGCTGATCTCCTCCACACAGACTTGAGAGTAGTGAAAGCTTTTCATACTTACCCGATTCTTTCTATGATATCTTCGTCAGTTCCTTTCGCCTGTAGTTGAAACGATGCTT